GACAATGTACCTCGGTAAAAGAGAAGACTCTAAATGACTAACATTATGTCAAATGTAAGTTTATTTTTTATTTAAAAGAAAAGGCAGTATTTTGGGAAGGGACTTGGGCGATTGTTGAAACAAACGACTCTCAGCTCTAGTAATAGTGAAGCTCTTCAACAACCATGTGAGTCTCTTATGTTGTGAAGGCGTACGGTAATTTTGTCGAATGAATCCGTGGGACGGTTGATGCTCTTCAAGGCGGAATCACGCCAAGATCACTCACAAATTAACTAATTGTCCCGATCGATATAGTACGCGAAAGTGTTCCTCGTACCGTCGAAAAACGAAGTGTCTAGAACCCTGAGTGTGTTTTTATTTTTGACGTATTCGGATCTACGTAATTCGACTGCTTCGACGTTTGAATGAAGTAGTCGAATAGCGTTTTTTCACAATGTATATATATAAATGAGGTCTTTCACAATCCCAACTATTTTTCTAGCTAACAAGTACAGCTGCTGCTTCTACTAGAAGATCAAGAGGCGTATGCTTCCTACGCTGTTCGGTGGCAGCGGTAAAATCTGGTAATTAATGGACAAATATTTATTGTCATTGATATCTTTCCGATCGTTAGCCACGCCGGAGTGCCTATTTCGAATACTTATCACTTCGAGGATTAAGGCTTCCGTTGAAACTACTGAGTTATAATACGCTGGCAGTATTTCGAATAAGCGTTTTTTGATTAGGAGTGATCAATGGAGAAGTAAATCGTCCGTCATGAAAGGCTCTGAGCAGGTGCTAGACGAAGCCTCAGTTGGCCGTTTTCAAGAACTCAACGAATGGCTCAAACTGCATAGATTATCTGGTAGACGTGGTTCGCACATTGTCAAATGAATCAATCTTAAAATAATTTTAAAGACTATCCTTCTAAAACCTACACAGGACAGACCGTTCGAAGCTTGTGAGTTTAGCCGTTCTTATACAATAGGCCAACGTCATTTACAGCAGGACTGTACCGCTAAGGTCTTTGTTATTTCAGCGTACGCGGATAGTTCATAGTAAAGCAGCGTTTACTAAAAAATGTCACTTAATTCAGTGCTCAATTACAGATGCTCGTGTACATAACACGTAAAAAACATAACGGATACGCCTCGTCCTCAGACAAACGCATAGAAACTAGTTTTTTTTAACCAACCACTCTACCTCAAACAATTCCAACTGTAAAAGACAATCCTGTGAAGCAATGTTGTGCACTAAAAGATCAATGTTTGGCTTCATGAAGTACCGATATGAATAGTAGTTATGAGTGAGGAAATCAGGACTAAGTAAACGAAAGCCCTTGTGCAACCGCTTATCCTCATTGTACCACTGTAACAGATTTGAGGGGCAGGCAATTGGTAAGCGACTCTAGATCAAGGTCAAGCTAGAATTTCAACTATTGAATAACTGAATCTGTAAATGCGTCGTCTGAGTACTGCGACAAACGTAAGTTTTGGCTAGCGATTACTAAATGAAGTAATATACCATAATAAAGATAGAAAGCAAAGTGGATCGCTCAAATAGACAATTGAAGCTTTTTCTATTGAACGAAAACGAATCATATGAAGTTGAGCTCAGTTTGGATGTTTACAGCGTATTGAAGTTTGTACTGAATACAACGAAAGAACGCTAGACAGTGCATCAGGTGTAAAGCGGAAGCGACGCTTCTAAATTTGCGTAACAATGAGCTAGCGGACAATGAAGGTTACACTGGTTCTTTTTTCTCGTAGAATTTTTGTAATAATAATAATAATAGTTCAATAAGTACGTCAAGTTACATAGTACGTAATATTGGCAAAGGAAGAAGCAACGAAAGGACCGAAACTTGCTGATCTATAACTTTACTGTGTAAATCATTGATATTCATTGTACCATGAAGATAATCGCAATAGTGTTCCTGCGAATACGAAATAAATTATCTACCGATGCATAAACTACATATATGTAAACAATGAACTTGTTTGCGGACCGAGATACACGGCTTGTACGACCGTTTTTACCTTCCCATTCTTACAGTGTAGATTACTTGTAGCTCATTATTTCAATGGTATTTCCAGAGCTAGCATCTATTTGTATTCACAAATGCGATAAATAAGTGTCTCTTTTCAGGAACCAATTCTCTATAAAAAGACATCTTGAAGCCTCATCATATTACTATATTATTGAAAACTAGTAGTAGACGGTATCGTGAAATTGCTTGTTTCTTTAACAATTGTCGAGCAATTGTATAGATTTCTGTGTAGAATGGTACAAAGACAAACAATTCTGCCTGGTGTAAACTGCCCTAAACACAAAACTCGTAAGTATATGCTTTAAATTTGTTATTAAAATCGAACTTGAATTCGTTAAGATAACAGTTGTATTTTTGACGTCCAAGGTGAATATTTGAACTTAGCATGCAGATCTTCTGGCCCATGAATTAAGTGAAGCCGATCGACGACGATAAACTTCCTGTTTTTGTTTTACGGGGATGGTTACGGCGGCGGTGGCGACGGGAAGCCGTTGTAACGAATTTGATTGTGGGAAGTCAGCAATATCTGTGCCTAGATTTATTCGAGCATGTTTCAGGCTTTTGGATCCTATCGTTTTAGAGCGGCACAAAGTGTATAGGCCAATAGTTACACACGTAAAAAAAAATAGTTGAATTGTCACTAACTTAAGCGCCAAGATACACTATAGGGCCGCTGCAAGCTTACTATTTTCGGTACACGAGAAATGCTTTTCAAGTTGGTCTGTACATTTAGCATCGATGCTATGAGGAAAAAACGTTACGTCTTTTTCGATAACCTTGAGGAGCTCATATTCAGGTTTTTATTTACTAGTCATCAACGAATATAATGAGCCTTCATATAAGTTTCCAGTAGTGGGGAGTAACGAGTATCCCAAATGCTATATCTTAGTAAATGCTAATGGCAAATATTTTAACAAGAAAATATATAGTAACGTTTTTTAGAAAGATTAGGAAAAAATGGGCAGTAATAAAATTCGTGCGGTATATCTTTAACACATATATGGAAAAATACTTTATATATTTTTAGGATCGTTTTTGGCTGAAGAGCAGGCCGCTGACCACACTTAACATGCTTTCTTTTTTTTTTACAGTCTACCAAGGGGTCCTCTTCCAGTGCTTAAATGTTCTGCAGACTTTGTTACCTGTATTATTGGGGGTTTTTGTATTAGGATAGCCTTTGAAATGTGAAACGCATGTATGTCTTTATTAATATTTCATATTAATACTAACTGTTGCTGAATTCCGAATATCGTGATTTTATATGAGGGCTTAGCGTTTAGTACAACAAAATGAGCGGGAGGTTTATTGATGGACGGCGTGCGGAAGGAGTAACGTATGACGAGATTTTGGAACGAAAGACACTAAGCCTGAAATCTAAGCGTTTTTTTTTTTGTTATTAAAAATCGAGGATTAATATCGTCAATTTACCCTGTAAACCAATTAAAATATTTTGCAATTGAAACGAGTGCGTGATTTTTTCTAATAACTCGACATCCCTTGTACACAATTAGTCAATTAACTAAGGTTTATTCATTTGATCTCGAATGTTTTTGTATTTTTTTTCTTCTTTTAATCGAATTTCCTTTTGCGATTTTACCAAAGCAACACGCCACTTCTTACTGGTAACAGCTTACTGCTAACTGAATAAATTTCTTCAAATGAGCTGTTTGTTTTTAGTCGTAAAGACCTGGACGCATCAAAAATCGCTTTTTTAATACAATTTAAGCCGTTTTGGTGACCTCTTAAGTTCTTTAAATCTAATCTATATTGAGGATCTTCCGATTCCCCTTATGAAAATTCTTCTTGGGTTTCAATTAGCAAAAACATGTATGGTCGATTTCCGGCAAAAAAAGAAGGTTTTTTTTGTAGCGTGTAGAAATTGCACGATGGCTGACCTTCGGAAACGATGTTTTGCATGGACAACCAAGTGCATAAGTTACATATATATATGCCCTTAGGCTTTTGTTAAAAATAATTTTAGTGTTCACTAAATAAATCTTCGCATTTTTATTTATCTATTATAAATAATAGACTGGGAAAACTAACGGCTACTACAATTTACAATTATTTCCCAGGGCTATAAACACGTGTTCATTATCAATCTGTCATAGGAAAAGCACGCATTATTAGACCAACAGTTAATTCAGACTTCTCAACTAATTTTCTCGTTCCACGGCACTGTGCACACAAAAGAAAAGTAAGCACTACTAACGAAAATTGACTTCGAAAAATTTCAGTTGTAAAATATAGGTCCTTATAGTCGACTGCAGAAAGAAAATCTTAAATGCGCTTCTGATTGTTGATGAATTACTCATCTTTTGACAATCCAAGGGCAGCGTGCCAGAATAAAGTATGCCAACTACTACAAACCTACAAGGAAACTGCTGAGGTACATCAAGGTAACGTACTACGGTTTCCGTGAAATGATAGTGATACCGTATTGCCCTACTAAATTACGTGTTGCTTAGATAGTTTAGGTTCGAATCTACGCGTAAGTACTACGTTTGGTGCCGTAAAGCGTCAGCCGTCTGTCAGGCGTTAGTTCTATTTACAAACCGCGTAAGTGCAGGCAAATTCAGGCCTGCGATGAAGGCCCAAAGCACGCTACAACAAATAGGCTTTCACTCGTCTGGGGGAAAAGAGATTCTTTACCTTAAAGTCTTCCAAATTACATTTATTCCGTAAGCTCGAGATTTAGGAACTTGTTTTCGCACCAAAAAGGAGATCCGGCCATAGACTAACATTACCGCCGTAGTCCTGCATTCCCTTTTGAATTTTATCATTCCTCTTATCCAATTTAAGCCTTTACTCAAAGTTAGCTACTATCATGTAAAGTTTAGCTTGAATCGAACATCTTTTAGTAGGAATGAGAACAGAAGAGTGCTTAGATTGTCATATCTGTTGTCTGAGAGCAGGTCGCTCCGCCCTTTCGTCGTCTACAAATATTCCTCCGCAGGATCCCAGCTAGCGGTACACACCATGGTATACGCCCGTTCGCCAGGATACGTAGAACCGGATCTATAGGTCATGAATCGAATGTGCTCCGAAATCACCATTCAGTGCGCTAAGGGGGCTCGTTAAGTTTTTGAGTGCTACCCTAACACTGTCAAGCAACAACGTGTATACTGTTTCCGCTAAACGCTCTATTCAATGTGCATGCTGTTTTATTTAGGAGAACTTTCGTACGCTCAAGGAAACGGATACCTTGTCCGTCATCAGAGTGGCTCGTAGCGTACGCCTCCTTTGCGGTTCTGCGCCGCTATTTAGCCTTTGCCGTCGGGAATTATTAATAGAAAAACATTTCTCTACTAAGCCGGCAGGGTATCCACACGCAGACACTAATTAAAAAAAGTACAGTCCAGTAGAAGGCTAGAACGAGGGCGATCCTGTGGTGTTCGTTGTGGGCCTGTCACCTTGTTGTTCTCGACGGCCTGGTAGGACCTATACCATGGTTCAGTTATGTTTACCAGCACTGCAAACGAAAGTCGAAACACGCTTCGGGTTACAGGGCCCGTGGAAAAGTGCAAGACTGTAAAAAAACGGTGGAAAGGGTCTGCCTTAGGTTTTTCCATGCATATGGATACTTGAAACCGTCAAAGGTGTTGACTTAAGAGATTTGTTTCGATTAGATTTTAGTCAATGACGCCACGCTAGTACAGCGCACACTCCTTGAAAGGTATCCTTTGAGACTAAGGCATGGAGATAACGATTTGGTTAAAAACAACGTGAAAATGCGGCCGTCCTCAAGCTGGCCTCTCATAGAGTATCATACGGAAAGATAAGTATTCCGTATATTGAAGTAGAAGTTAACGCGCGGCTGCAGTTGATTCGAATTTGGACTAAGCCTGTCATTCGAGATAAACGTTTTTTTTTATCTTTATCATGACAGATAATTAGTTTGAGTCGGGTAGCTAAAAAGAAGGAATCGAAACAACTAATTTGTCAATTGGCTTATAGAGTGAAAGTACAGCGCTAGTAATATTCATATTGCAACTATGTAACCTAGTGCCATTGTGTATGTGACAATTACCACCACTAAGTGGCAGACCTTTGCAAATCTTTGTGCAGCTGGATCTTCCGCTGAATGTATTTGTATTTGAGATATTCGTCTTCATCATTATATATTCAAGTATTAATGAAAATGTCTCTGAGCACTGAAACTACGGTTTAGAAGGCCTTCTTGTATCTGAAGTCGTCAAGGGTCACCCGGAGTACGAGCCATTATGCAACCGTTATTCTACGTAGTTGCGTTCGTAATAACCGTCTATACGGTATACCAACCAAAGAATTGTTTTCTCTTCCTTTTTTTTTCTTAATTTAGCCTGTCTATCGACAAATTTAATTATTATTTAATTATTTATTATTATTATTATTTATTAATTATTATTAAAAATTAGACAAATTTCTATTCGTATAAACATACAATAATTTACATATTACAACGTTTAATATTTCTAATCCAAGTTTACATATTGTTCCGGGTGCTTCCGGAGTCATTTTCGTATGCGAGACTAGCTGGCATCACAAATCCACTTTTCAACTCGCTATGTCTACGTTCAGAGGTCAGCCTCGCAATAAAATCAAGCAGCCTAAGTAAAACGACGATAGCAGCTTGCAAGTACGAAGTTCCTCCTTAAAGTTATAATACTTTGGAAGGCGGAAGAATAAACAATAGTTTCCATTACTTTCGGAACGACCTAAAATCAATTATCTAATTCTAAATGTTCTTTGTTTTGGGTCCATCATGAGAAATTGCTCATACCCAAATATGAGCAACACACCCTAACACAGAACCAGATCTTTTGTCAACAGGATTTATGCTTCACTTCATCTTAAGTCGACTTGCAATTGCAGTTATATTGAAGACATTTTGCTTTTTCTATTGCAGTTGTTTCTGCTTAGTGCGATTTGGTATAAATGGCATTCATGGCGTTATCCGCTTCCGGAGACGGGTTTTATCGGGGGTCCCCCTTCGATGTTTGTACCATTTTTCAGGGAAATTTCATTTCTCATGCACTGCTTGCGGTATCCCGAAATTGACTTTCTAGCCCGTAGGTGATTTTTGCTTATTACAATAACGTTTACCGATATTAATTGGAAACCAACATTGCCTAGTCGAACTAATATGGATGTGTTCATTCTTTGATAACTGTACTCACGTCTCTAGTTAAAGCAATGGCTATGCTAGAACTTTCACACATAAGTAAAACTATAACGAATATAATAGGGAAAATAAACAAAAAACATTTTAAGCTCGAGCTGTTTTCCTTTTTCTTCGAAGGACCTTCGTCTTTCCTAGTTATAAATATTTTTTTCTAATAATATAACAATAATTATAATGGCATTCGTAAAGTAGCCTTACTGGACACCTCCACTTATTAACCTATTCTTGAGAATAACTTCTATTAATTAATGTAATTAAACAATAACGTAAATTGCTGCAATTTCAGATGTCTATCGTGCTTTTGAAGGGTTGGAAACTATGTATAGGGAGAAAGGAGCATTTCGAGTTTGGGTAGGCGCTCACCCATTCGTAATGCTATCTGACCCTCAAGCAGCTGAAGTACTGCTCACTTCAAACAAACATATTGAAAAAGCACAAAGTTACGAACTACTTCATCCATGGCTTGGAACGGGACTTCTGACAAGGTACCAAATTTCAGTTTTCACAGCATTTTTATCCCTGTATAATTATCTTGCAAGTAATCAGATCGCAGTGCAGATAAACATTCTCAATTGAATGCTTACAGCTTTTGATCTAGCATTTTTGACTGGCGATATATGTTCGCCAGCCAGAATGTAACCAGAAGCTACATACCGTAGTTAGGGTTACGCAAAACGCCAAGAGCTGTTTCGATATATTTGATACGATACCACAATATCACACGTAAACCTCGAAACACTTGAAGCTTCTCGTCAATATATTCTGTGAAGTTTTTTTTTCTTCCGAATTTGTATCATACAATTGCGAGAACACATTCTTTGTTGTTGAGGGCATTTGTATACTGATAACTATACTTTTCCTATTTCCTGTCTTCGTACCTATCGCAGTACTGGTCCGAAGTGGCGTTCCCGCCGTAAACTGCTGACTCCTGCGTTCCATTTCGGCATTCTGGAAGACTTCGTTGAGGTTTTCGACCGACAAAGCCAACTCCTCGGACAGCGCATTGAAAGCGAATTTGGAAGTGCGAGAAAGCCTTTCGACATCTGCAACGAGGCATCTTTATGCACACTTGATATCATCTGTGGTAGGACAGTGTCAAGGCTTTGTCACGACAAAGTCTTTCTTTATCTGTTTTCTCAAATATATATTCAGCTATCGCCTATTTTGGGTTTGGACCAATGATAAAAGGATGTTTGAACAGCCTTCAAAGAAATCAGTAACAAAGAAACACGCCAAACATCAGTTTTTTTTATCGGTGTCATGCATACGTTTACCATTTATCAGATAGCAGGTGACCAGGGCAATCGAAGCCCTACAATCATGGGGTTAAAGTTTTTCCCGTCAACATTCGAGATTGTTGACTAATAATAATATAATTATTATGATATATGTATACATAGCGTACGGCATTCAATAGAGTACAAATTCATTGGCGAGCCGCGTGGCGTAACGAGCATGCGTCCATATGCTACTGCCAATAACAGACTTTCTTTTTTATCTTTTTTAAACAAAACGACAAATTCGTGATGCGGAAAAACAGGGCGTCGTTACTATACGCACATCAAGTTGAAAGTGTACCGCGGCCGCAAAAAAATACGTGGCTACATACAGAAGGAGGCGAAACAGGTTCCAGTACGACACAGTGGAAAATCTAGAATTCCCAAGTTCATCGTGTCCTTTCAAAATTGCATTTTTAATGATCCTTCACTTTCAGTTAATCAAGAGATTCGATGCGAGCGAGAATACGGCTGTCCACGAAAACCTTCGGTACACATCACATGTGATACCAGTGGGACAGATGCACTCCAAAGATAATTAACGCACAGTATTTAATTGGCGTTATTTGCTACACAATTTTGTAAAATGAAGCAGCAGGTGATCCTTTATATTTACGCGGAAAGTAATTTTTACCCTTTTTCCAAGGATAAACTGCAGAAATGATCGCTAGCCTGCTCGCGGTGCAGAGGATGTGCCTATCGTGTGCCTGATCTGGGCAAGCACAATTCTTTGACAGAAGTTTACGTCCGGTGTCTAGTGAAGGAGATTTTATGCCATCTCATTTAATTCAGAAAGGCTTCGTATAGAGTGTTGTCATACAGGAGGCCAACAAGTCCTCATAACGTTGACATCATCATCATAAAATAGTGACATCGACACGCTCACCGGTGTCATTAAGAAGAAAAGGCACTGTTTAAAACGAGCCTGTAAACGGTCTCGAGTACAAACTGTAGCTGGTTGTTAATCTGAATAAACATAACGTCCAAAATTACATTGTTAGCATAGCCAAAAAAAGTGCCGCCATCCCTTATGATTTAGGTAGAGTCTGAGAAGAATAAGCCGAAGAGCAAATTACAAGAGGGTACCGTACTCCGTATATAGTTAACTGGAGGCGTATCTAGTTTCGACAAAACCTATATGACGAAGTTAGAAGAAGACTAATGTTATAGATACGTTGTACAAATTGTACGTACCTAAATTCTACTTGCCCCAATATTTAAATACGTTATATTCGATAGATATGAATGTGATTTTTTTTTTTATAGAAACAGCCATGGGCGTCCAGCTGGAGGCTCAACGGGCGTCTCAGTCTGCCTACGTACAGGCTGTCCACAGCGTAGGAGCTTCTTTCATTAAACGGAACACGAACCCTTGGCTACGGCCAGAATTTTTGTTCCGAATGACTTCGGATGGAAAAGCTTTTTACAAAGCACTTGACGTGCTTCACAGCTTCACACGAAGAGTGAGTAATTAGTGTCAGATAATACTAAATAATCATCGAATTATTATCTAATTAGTACTCGTTTCGATACGAAACCTTCTTTGAGGATCACCTTGGCGCCCGTCACACAGTGTTACATTTAACAGCAATTTTAGTTGAATAAAACATTTGTCTATGGAAATAAGCGAAATATTATTCGATTCAAGTCCCGTACTGAGAGCTTTCATGTTCAGAGAAATTCTATTTGAAAAATGTACCATTCGATACAACATTGGTTGAATTATTGGTGATCTCCATATAATCGTACTTCGAGATCGAGATCGGGTGACTTTGCTTAAAGAGACATAAAGTGTTGTAATGGGATATTAGTTGAAGCCTAGCAACTGTGGGAAAAACGGTACACTCATAGAACGAATGACTTTCGTGAGCAGGTTATCAACGAGCGTTATATATCATACAAGGCAGATATGTCATCCCAGGAACAACAACAAACGGAGGTTGCTGGCAAAAGGAAGAAAAGAGCCTTCTTGGATCTTTTAATTGAAACACATTACCAAAATCCTAGAGCGTTGACGCTGGCTGATATTGCAGAGGAGGTTGACACGTTCATGTTTGAGGGTCACGACACTACAGCTATGGGTACGATAAAGCCCGTACATCTTGTACCGTGTACAGATAAGCATATCTGATTTTTTTGCGAACCTAATAACGTAATTTGAGCCAGATAACTTGTCACGAAATCCTGCTTATAACTTCTCATGTCGTGTCGAGTCTTATTACGCATATATGCAAAGCCAACAAGTAGTCGTTGTTTTCCGTTTATAATGATTATATTTGCATGGGTGATATATCAAAGACCAAAATGGGTGCGCCCACCTTTCCAGGCGTTTCTTGGTGCTTGTACCTTTTGGGTCATCATCCCATATGGCAACAGCGAATCTTTGAGGAAATTATTGAGGTCATGGGAACTGATCTTTCAGCACCAATTACAAGTAAACATCTGCCAAGACTCAAGTACCTTGAGTGTGCGATAAAGGTAAGCGAGAGCCTTTTATAGTAGTCAGCAGCCATAGGGTGGCACATTTTATAATCTGTTTCTGTATACCTGCATCAAAGCTATTCTCTATGCAACGTCGAGTTGCGACTGAAATAGCACAAACAGACAGGTAAAAAGTTAGAAATTGTTATTTTACCAAAGGCTGAACTTAATATTTTTATGCAAAAGGGGTTATATCGCCCGACCATAGACTTTCAACCCCGTTTGCAAACATTAGGACTTGCTTAGGTAAGCTTATCCTACCTTCCAGGAATCTCAACGGCTTTACCCATCTGTTCCATTAATTGGTCGTAGACTTCGACGGGATCTGCCTTTACGTAAGTGAGGGACGTCAATATTTATGTAAAAGTACAACATCTTATTAAATGACATAAGTATCTTGTTGCACTGCCAGCTTCTAAGCTTATTTGTGTAATACATAAATTATTTTGTGAACAAAATGCTTTTATTCCTCCTATTTATCCTAATTTATGTATTTATCCTAAATACAATGACTTTAGTATATTTCGTAACTCTATGTCTATGTATTGCCTGTATGCAGGAGGAAGATTTTGTTAATAAAATTTAGCTTACCGTAATGAAATATTTAAAATAAAATAATGGTCGTGACATATCTTATTAAAATGTTCTTACTGCGTACTCTCGATCTTATGGGAGTGGCCTTTTATGCCGTTTGTTTTTATTTCTTTCATAATTCGTTTATGTATACGTGAGATTTATCTAAACTAACAATTTTAATGCAAATTATCGAACAGAAGGCAATCGCGTAATTCCAGCCGGTTCGACGATTTTATTGCTTATAATGCAACTTCATCGACAACCTGAAATCTATCCATGGCCTGAGGAGTTCATGCCAGAACGCTTTTATCAAAAGAGTCAAAATGAGAGCGCCCAAGACCACTCAGACCTTGCGATTTCCCATCCTTATGCCTACGTGCCGTTCTCAGCAGGCCCGCGAAACTGCATAGGTTGGTATAGTGCGTGTAAATATGCCCTTTTTGTTTGATATAGCTATCTATTTGATTATTAATAAAGCACTTATTCTAGCGCAATTTTCATGAAGAGAGATTTTATAACTACATAGGCCTGTAGCACCATGCTACTACTCGTGCCAAATTATATCGTCTACAAACGGTACCGGTTGATTGGTCAAGGGTGTTGCAGACTGAGTGTATGTTGACAAAAGATTTACGTGGTGATGCGTCTTCGGATAATTCTCGATCTTCAGACACCTTGAATAGTTACGCCATTAGTATTTCCTTTGTGCTATTAAGCTGTCGCAAACTTCCTCCTCTAATAAAATAAGGAAAACCAATAATCATGCAAAACGTAACCGCTGTGTGAAAAATGACATATTAAATTCCACAGTATCTCTTTGAGATATCGTTACAACAACGCAGTATAATGCAGTGCGTTTAACTTAGTTGATCGTTTTCGCCTGTTCTCGATTTTTAGTAATCATTCGTTTTCATTATCGCGCTAGCTTTCGTTGAGATTAACGTTTATATTATTGTCAATATATTAGCGGTATTCTTTTCAAAAGCAATAATCTGGGTTGTAGAACAGTTTTCTCCAGTCTGATCCGAGACAGGCTGTTCTTCGAGACAGGGTTCCCTGAGACATTATCGTAGTCGTAGACTTTGACCCCTAGCAACTTGATTTTGCAGGACAGAGGTTTGCTTTAATGGAGGAAAAAGTCGTTGTGGCAAACGTGCTGCGCCGAGTAGAGGTACGCTCATTAACTCCACGAGATGAGGTACAGGTCAGCATTAATCTCGTCACCAGAGCCGCTGGGGGACTGAAGATGTGTGCGCGATCCCGGCAGTATGACAACACCATAGACCACTCAAAGAAAAAATCGGAAGTTTAAATATTAATCTATATGGTATTGAAGTGTACAACGCGAAGCATTATACACTTCAGTAGTCCTTTCGTTTCGATCATGCATTATAATAGTACCCTGCAACTAACTTCTGTTTGAATTGTTGCAATAGGTGAGACGAAGAGACCAGGATGATCGCCTATAGAATTTGTCCAACATTGAAATAGGACTTACTTGGAGTGTTACATACAGTTAGCTATTTCGTGATAGGTTGATCTAAGACACTACTTTTCTTGCAAAAGGAAAATTTAATCTGTTGCCATCATGTCGTTTTGTTTTCGATAGCCTATCGAGCACCAACTTTTTCTATCTGCAGAATCAGTAGCCTATCGGAGTATTCACTGTGAAACCTGGAAACACTGAAAGTTTGGAGACAACAAAGTTGCCTGTCATAATGTTGAGACGTCATTATAATTTGAGACACATATGAGAAATACTTGCTCACAATGATTGAATAACGTTAGCATAAATAAACTACATTAGGAGCCGCCTATATATTTATCATTATTGCATTAATTAAAATTAGGCAAAAAAAAACATAGTTATGGCTAACAAGTAGATAAAAGATGTATTCATTCCTCGCAATCATTATAATTCATATTCAGCTTATTTGAAAGATCCGGATTTTTTCTACAACGAGAAAAATCCGGAAAAACTTAACGACCATAAACGGGCATGATTTCACTAAGGTAAAGGGATGGCGTTAGTTTGGCACTATACACTATACACCTGCAGTCGGTAGGAAATACTGTTCAGTTTGTCTACAGTAGAGATGTAAAGGTGAATTTCAGCGAAGTTCTAAAAGCGGTTGAAACAACGCGGTATTTCGAAATCTATTGTTTAGTTATGCAAAGCTGTCAAGCGAAAGAGCTATTTGCGCGTTACCAGTATTATAGAGATATACAAGATCGGAGATCACTTCGCTGTGGTTAACCTTCCCAGTATTCGCACCGTTTTCTCGAGAACAAAATTGCATCGCTAAGAGCACGGAGGTCGTTCCTTGAAGACGTCAGCTATCATTGTTCAGGCGTAGACCGAGTCTCAAATTCGTATTGATTTGGCTTGAGACTTACCGAGACGAGAGAATTACTGGTGTAGTCAAAGAAATTGTATTATTTTCACTGAACAGTTGATTCAGATCGTGGGGGCTGACCCAAGGCATTTCTAAACTTACAAGAACCTGAATTACTGACGTTTATAAAAGGAGGTTATATATTTACTGATTCTCGCGTATTTTGGCAACAACGAAAGTTACTTGCAAAGGTTGGTTCTTACCTGAGGCAACTGTAGAGAAAGATCTTGGGTTGCTTTGCATAGATTCTTATTGTTACCGTTCATGTTATGTTTTCATATATAACTTTTCACAGGATACGGCACAGAGGTTACTTTAATATGCTGTATGATGGGGTCATAAGATCAGTGTGCTATCAACTGCAGCTCGATACGTATGGTGTGGGCTCTGTCTTTGGGAAAGTCAATTTTGATCAACGAATAATTATCGTGACATCAATGATTACGATAAGGATCAGGCGATAACTCTCATAAGTTTTTTTTTTTTTCTAAGAAGCTGAATTCGCATTGCAGACAAAATGATTTGTACCAATATGATTTTAAAAAACAGACCCGAATTCCGTGTTTCAAGGTGAGAACCGTGGTACAGTTTATGCAGATTAAGAGCTCACTTCGACAAAACTTGAAAATGTTTAATTTCGAAATCTTTAATTGTCAGCTTTGCGAAAGCAAAAACGTACGAAAGCTCCTAGTCTTAGAAACGCAGGAAGCCTATTTTTGACTGTCGTCTTTTGCAGAGTGATATTTCTAAACGCTAGATGCGATTTTATAGGAAAAAAAGGAAAAGTAATATATTGAATAGAAAGAACAGGAGGTAACATAAAGAAGTGTATTGTTTAAGGAATAGGTTTCAGATCAGGCGAAAGATCCCAATAGATTACAATACATATGCTGAACTAACAATAAAATAGTCCTTAAACGTATGAATATATAAATCGACCCACATGTGTATCATAGCTTACATTCAATCTGTTTCGACTTGAGTTGGTAGTACATGGACTTAGTAAAACAAAATAGTGCGAAATAGTTAATGCGAACATTGCAGGGACATAGTTTGGTTTCAGTGCTGAACGTTCGTAAAAGTTACTTGGTTTCCGCATGTAGTACAACGGACACAGCTTTCGTTTCTTTTGCAATGCTTAGAAGCTATGCATGGTATTGCCTCTCGTACGAAAATAGGGAAATCTCGTACTAGGGTTGTCACAAATCTATTCTATCTGGTATTTGTTTGTTTGCCTTAAATGGATAGATGATGAGAGTGTATGAAGTAGATGATAAAGTAGATCTACGGAACAGTGTGCCACGTGTTTTTTTCCTATCTATATACTATTCACCATTAAGTAGTAGCTATAATCATAATCATAAAGGGTTGTGTTCAATCGCAAAAAGTATAGATCTGCTTACAGCTGTACTCGGTATTCATTGTTATAGAGTATTTCTACATGTTTTATTAGCAGGCGGAGACAACATGAATGCTGTTCGTGACCGCCTTTATGTTGCGGAAAATCACATAGCTCGAAAAATCAAATTGTAGCTTTTCGTACGAACTCGCCCCTCGCAACTGGGGCAAATAAATGCACGAGACCAAATCTAATATGAGCATGTCCCTTGTAGGTAGGGTGCGGCTCGCTTAAGCCGGTTTGCCGCTTATGTGTCTTTCTTAGGTGGGATATATCATTGAGATAAGTAGCGTAAAAGACGTGCAAAACAAGAATGGATTTCTATCTTAGCGTCAATGGTGGCGTTTTATTTATATTTAAAATCGATTCGAAGATTGCATACAAAAGTTCTACCCAAGCTTTTGAATTATCTGCAATTTACTGTTATCACCCATTGGGATATCGTGCGTGTTGTTTATTAAGGAACTAGACAGATTGCAGCATGTTTGGCCGTAACGAACAGGTATCCAAAGGACACAATTTATAACCGTCCGCCAGAGGAGATATTCAAGCTAAGTTACATGCTGCATAATTGAAAAATACGTTGTGTGTCTGATACTTTTTTTAATTACAAGTAACCATTATGCCTTTGTAAGGACCTGTAGGTCCGTAAGCACACGTTGGGCCTCAATAGTCAATGTCGAAACACCGTTTATAAGTAAAGTTAACGAGTGCCTAGACGATTTGCCGTACGCCCTCAAATTTATTGCGTAGCGAATAAGAAAGCAACAGCTTATCTTGGTTATTTTGATGAAGATCATTTGTTTGCGCGTATACTGGAAATCTTTTATTATGGATAGTTTGTAAACAATGGCGCCATGATGGGCCGAAATGTACCATTAAGCCGTGAGTCAATAGCTGGCAAATGACTCGCCAAGTCACAAGATGGCGATTCCGCCAAAACAGTGGTGCGTTAGAACAGCGCCAATGCCATTATTATGATATATATGTCGATTAATTTAAGATAATAATTAGTTGACCCTAGATGCGTACTGTTACAGCATGCGTACTGGACCATTTCAGCTGAGATATCTTGAGGGAAGTAGCAGCTTGTAAAGCTGTTGTATAAGTTCAGTGAGTATCCTATCAGTTTTTATAATTAACTTTTAGTATGTTGGTGTCCACAGGGGCTATAGGCATGTTTGTTCGTGCTTATAAAAAAAACCATTTCGCCTATTCGTTGACGTCTAAATATTAGATGTCGGGGGAAGATATTACGCGTACATTTAATCTACTTCTTGCCAAGGGCATAATTACTCGCCGATATTTTTAACGTCGTTTTTCAAATACAAATAAATTCTAGTTGGGCAGAAGAACTAATTATTCTAACGCTGGATGATTGAGCATTCCAGCTAGTGAAAATTGTTTGCCGCTCAAATACATTATATGTACAACATTGTACCGGAATTAAGTTTTGGGCTAATATTAGACCGAAAATTTCAAAATGCAAAAAGACTAATCTCTAGTAGTTATCTTAATGACTCAATCGGTGGCTGTTAAAACGACTATCAATATATACACAAAAGATCTAGATATATCAAAAAAGCCTTTGAGTCGTTATGGTGATTTTTAAAACTTTCTAAACTTTAACATTATCGAGGATTTTCCGGTTTGACTTATTCGAAATCTTCTCCGGATCCTTCAGAAACAGCCTTAAGCCTGGCAATAGTGTAGACCACCGATTTTGGGAAGAAGGAAATTTATTGTTTTGGTGGGGGCTTGTGTCGTGTAAACACATTGGGTAATAGCTGATCTTCGCTTAAACTTCGAAAACGACGCATTGCTTCTCGCCGTGATGAATTTTTTGAAAACAATCGGTTTCGTGTTCGTATCATGAATCACGAGCGAGTGCATACCCACTATGACGAACAAACCGTCAAAGTTTGCCCTGATTTATCATATCATCCTATATAACTACTAAGGTCCATTTGGATTATGGCCGTCAAACTCCTTGATACCTACACACAGACTCCTCTCATTCACAATTTTGTAGCTTTGAGGACGTGCAGTACTCGGTTAGTTGTGCCCATTCTGAAGTCGTTGATATCTAGAGCTGAAAAACTTTCACATATCGACATCTGTACGAGCTATTGTCACACTGACCATACGGAAAAGCGTGAATGGCTGGAAAAACGTCACACAGTAGCTAACCTAGAGGTAAGGCCACGAATGTCCAGCATCTATAATAATCAATGAAGCGTTCTGTCAAAAGATGCTATGAACAATAATGACTGAATAAATATATCGGGTTTGGCATCCTGTTCTGCCGTTAAGCATGGCGTACCCCGATGAGTTCCAGCACCAAACGAAGTATGTATACACCCCGTTAGGCCCTCTTGTTACTCGTGAAGTCACTATCTTCTCCCACCAAAGTGGTTCTCCTGCTTTTTTCCGCTACATGAACGATCTTAAATAACAATTGTGCTTCAGATAGAACAACGAAGTCTGTACTCATAAAGTTGGTATACAGTTCGATATAACACGGTGATTCCAAGAAAGTTTGCTATGTCATGACGGCTCAGCTCCCGCAAACATCTGGGTTCTGCGTTGCTTATTATTATATCTTGTAGCCGTGCTCGGTTTCTACGAGTTTTCTTCCACTACTTTTAACATGTATCAAATTCAAGTTTATCTCACCGTGCAAAGGGCGTGGCAGCAGCGGAAATATTTCCGACACAAGACGAGTTAATGGCCAGTCAAATTGGCAATCTTCACTTGGCCGATCTTCCATTTGCAATAGAAACAGGCGCATCACAGGTGATTTTCGACTTGACTTTGGTAAACTTTGGATTCGGTCATGTTAATTGAAGTTATTTTGGTATACACAACTGTGACGTTTGTAACTGGTACAAATGTCGATTATGTTTTTTCAGTCCAGTATCGAGACATGGGCAAGCTTGAACTGCATTAGAATTGAAACGAAGACTGCGGCACCCGACAGAAGTTTAATTCATAACATCCAAGCTGCAGTTTCAGGGCCAGTGTCAAATCAAAGGCCATTGGTACAAACTCCTCTTCAGATGCCCTCAAAAAGCAAACCGATCCGCCTCAACAAGCGATCATCGACGGTTACCGTTACAACACGAATCGAGTACGGGGTCACTATCGAATGTACCTTGGTCGCTTCGAACGTACGTTTATGTTAACCCGAGACTTGTTCGTTGAGCTTGAGACGCTGCCAGTATGAGAGTTTCGACTATACTTTAATTTTACCGATCGCTCTACTGTATCGTTTGTTAATCTCTGTTTCTATTAGACTTGTCACAATCGGATCGATTGTATGTTTTGGTAATCTATTCCGATAACAAGAGCTGGTTACGACTGGTGGACATACGACGACAGTACGAAGGCACACTCGAGTTTTTCTTTGTTTTTTTTTTTCTCTGGAAATCGTTATTACCATAATTTTGCGCTGTTAAACGTTACTGTGTTGAATCGGCGCGCGCCGATTAAGAGGAAACCGAAAGTTCCACAATACATTAAAATATTCCGATCCAACATGATGCATGTACTGTTTATTTGCTTTAAGGGTATCGTTGTTCTTTATCGACAGTCGATGCTATTAGGTTTTTAATAAAAGAAACTGAAGAGCATTAAAAAAATTATGAATGGCTACTCTACGTGTTAGACAACTAAACGCTGAATCCAGCTTGATTAAGACAGTAATAAATCGTAAGTGTTTGTTTAGGATTGTGGCCTGAACTCGGCCGACAAGTAAGTCTTTACTAAAATTAAGCGACTGTTATGTTCAAATTCTAGCTTAGTCTGACCTAATAAATTATTTGATTAAAGCTTAAAAATACCTAGTCTATGGCAATCGCTGAGGCCACTGCGATTTCAACAGCTTTGATTAGGCTTTCTGAATAGGAAAATTGAAGTACTTTTTTTTGGCAAACCTTCTGAGGTAATAGCTGTTCTGTAAATGGTAAAGAAGATCTATAATCGTTAGGCGACGCAAGTTGTTGTTGTTGTTGTTGCTGCAACGATCCCAGATTTTATCTAGGGTCGACACCCCGAATTAGGGTGTCTGGCTCTTTTTTGTGCCAATTTCCATAAAGGATGGCTTTCTCTAGTGGTGAAACTAGCTTGTCGAATAATGTGAAATATTCCTATTATAAAAGCGTACAACAGTTGGTCTGAACACTGTTTTCAAAAATGTTTTTATTACAATAAAATTCAGAAGTATCCAACACAGGAAACGTTGAATCTCTGAAGTCGATTAGGCTGGATCAGTGTATTGCCCTGATAAATCAAATCCTGTAACTCCGATAAAGTTTAAAGGTCATAGAGGAAACAGTGGATTTGTTTTACCAGAACAGAAACGTCCTAGGGTTTATAAAAGGAATTATATATATATATATATATACTCAATACTGATCAGGTGAAAAATGTCAGATAATAATACTTAATACTTGTTTTTACTATATATAGTATATATATATATATATATATATATATATAAATAAAACATTTCATAACCACTTCATTATTATACATGGCTTTTCATTTGATCAGTACTGAGGAATGTTTACTGGATCCATCGAAAAATGAATTTACTCGTCGCTCGATACTATTATCATTATTATATTTATCTTTGTTTATTTACAAAACAATATTTTTCTATCTACGTGGTCTTTTTATGGCATTCGGCGAATGTAACAAAAGTTTCGTCATTTAGTAGGACATTTGTTAGGACGAAATTGGGATCTTATTCTTAAATAAATATTTTTTTGTTGTTCAATCAACATCATAATTACCATCCGCATCATCTTCATTATCATGAATAACAACAACAACAACAACAACAACATTGGATGTTGCTGTTGTTGATAGTATTTTAACCACCTTCTTAGATCAAAGCAAAGAGAGTCGAGATCGAGCTGCGGAAGATCGATCCCGTTTATAACCCTCAATCAATTTTTGAAATAATCCACTCGCGTGATTTGGCTGACACCTCTTCGGACAGCTCCAACCAAACTACTTTTTCCTAATAAAACACAATTTATGAATAATCCTTTATCAGACTGCATCGTCTGTCTGATAGACTGCATGCCGTTGATAGATTTGTACGGAGGGGATTTGCCCCTTTGTCTGGAAATGCTATGTACAAAATACGACATTCTCATTTCCTGCCAGGCGTGGAGCCAAAGCGAAATCCTATTACCTGTCTTGCTGTGCCTCTAATAATAGCTCTCCAATGAAGCTCAAATATACGATCTGTTGCCTGATGTCCTTGCGTCTTGTCTAAAGGACTACGGTCCCAGGCTTGCCTACAGAAAGGTCCTTTTGAGCATCGAATTGCCTTTTTATTCCTGTAAACTTTTTATTACTCCCATGCATACCTACAGGCGCTTTTCCCAGTTAATATTATTTTTAGTGGAGGTTGTAGTGGATGCTTATGGAACCCTCGACACCTTACATACACGGTCACAGATGTGCGATATCGGCCACACAATATCAACTGTTTGCACATGTGTGCACAATATAAATTTGTAGCCAGCTGAGGGAGTTTTATATTGATGCCGCTGTTGGGTAGAAAAGCAACAGTACCTACATGATGGTATATTTTATCTGATTATCTTTATGATCAAAAAACGGTATTTAAGTTGGGCTCAATTTGGGCGCCCACTTAGTTACTTTCCATTTCTATCCGCTGTCGTTGTCGTCGTTTTAAGAAGATGATTATAATAATCGTGAACGAGCAGTCAATGCGTGTATACATCAGCACTAAGCGTTTGCATTCTGTTAGTATAGCATTAATGGCACCTATTAGAGCTTATAATCAGGGTTGTCGACGAACACTCGGACAACCTCACCCGAGTATCGCCTTTGTGATGGCATGAAGTAAAAATCTGGATTGCTCTCCGTTTGGCTTGTTGGACGGGGAACACGCTCCGCGGGTCGAGGCATCAGTCGCTCCCGCATCGGATAATCGCGAGGCCCTCCAACCCGGGAAGAGCCGTCGAGGCGATCTCGACTCTGGTGCGAAGATCGTCGATCTGCAAAAGAAAGCCTATTTAATCCAACATCGTTTAACGCATCGCCATTTAAATAAAACTATGCGCTACGGCGCCGTATTCGTATCAGGGGTGTGTAATGGTTGGATCATGCTGCACTTATCTTTATGAAGTATAGGTTACATCGGTCAAAATTGCTTCTTCAATACATTACTGCGTCTTCGCGCGCTTCCTAATTGGCCATATCTCCGTGCCTATTTATTGTGTATCGAAGATTTCTGTTTTGTAGTTATATGAGAGCGTCGTACCATGTGTCCTGTTGCCGTTCGATGACGGATGTTGCGTATGTCCGCTGGTCTTATGCTGTCCGGTTCCATTACGCATAGGTGGTGCTTCCATCGTTGGTGAATCGTCTTTTACTGCAAAATTCTCATAGCTATAATTCGATGTAGCGGAGTAGTCTTTCCAATTGGGGCCCATCAGAAGCTTCTCCTGTAAAACCGAAATCCAACCAAAATGTATGCAAGTACACTAAGCTAAGTTAGCGAGCATCAAGCAGACCCCTAACAGTTACTAAATTGAATAGTGAATATGATAATGTTGTACGCTCCATTATTTCAATTGGAGAACAAACAATACGGAATAACTGCACGATTCCTTACATATATTTTGTTGGTTATTAGGTAAACGCAGGATAAACTTCCGAGATAACGACTCGTTAGGGGAATCAGGCCAATGTTTTTTTCGTTAAATTAGAAAAAATAATCTATCAACTTGAACGTTAGCGCTCCTGTGTGGGGTGCTTTAGATTAACATGATACCTAATTTGAAGATATTTTTTTGCGGATAACATTTCACTCCATTTTACATATTAGTTATTAGAGATGCTCCCGCTCAAGGGGTTACTGCTTAAATTTTTCGTAAAAACAAAACACTGGAATTAATTAGGATCAGGACATCGAAGTTATTATGATGGAGCTGCGCCTATTCTTACTGCAGACATTCGTTGCAGCCAACTTACATTAAAAAAATGTTATTATTAAAAAAATTATTTAAAAAAATGCTGCTTATATACCCGGTTGGCGACTTTGGCGCGATTTTTGCGGTCTTTGCAAAGCATGCAGCACGCCTGAAGGAAGATTAACACAATGAGAGCTCCCACGCCACCAGCGATAATGACGAACTTTGTTTGTTCGATACCTGCAATTGTTTTTATCGGCTCATCTTCTTCGCGGACTGAATATATAGGAAGAACAAATAAAAAATTCGATTATTATTAATACTAGTTAACAATGTAAAGTATGCATTGAATACAGTTTTGGAATAAATGATATACACGTACGCTACATTAAAATATACGACCAACTTTTTCCCCATATAAACCTTACAACTGTTTTTGTTCCACTCGATATATGTGAACATTTGTTAGAATGGCTCTGTACCAATCACCAGCTGCAAAAATATGTAGGCTAATATGATTTTATTAAACACACCATCCTCTGTAAAAATAGCATTATCTTCGTCATCTTGAATAAGTTGCTGAACCACGAGGTACGCAGGATCTACACTGAGATTTCTTCCAAGCTTTCCGCTTTTGATAGTTTCAGCTAACACATTACTGACAGCATTCTGATCTTCATCGGGCTTGACGATGACGCTCATTTCCGCATAAATTACTTCGTTTGAAGGATCTCCCTTTAGCGAGGTGAGCTCTAAGCGAACAAAGCCCGGAATCTGGACTAGCGCGGTTCCGATCTAAAAAGAAGAGCAATCAATTGCTAGGTCCAATCGCATTGGATGCAGTGATCGAGTTATTAAACAAATAGGTTGTCCAGATTAACATACGTGTCGTAAGACGATCACATTTGGCTCAGGCTTATACTGGGATATAAGGTCATGCGCACTAACCGAATTAGTGATTTGCTTCGTGAGGCGGTCGTATTTGTTGGACCCTTGACTCTTGTAGTCGTTTAGCCATCTTTCGGTAAGCTTAACCTTGACAAGATAAACATCTGGCCTCTCGATATGCACCGACCCCGATGGCTCTTTGTAATCAGGCTGTGCCACGGGGGGTTCCGGAGCTGTTTCTGGAACATCGTCAGGTTCAGGTTCGGGCTCGGGTTCAGGCCCAGCATGTGCAACAGTCGACGCCACCTCTGAAATGTTAACACAGCGCATGTGGGAAGTCATTAAGCAAAGAAATTGTGTATATATATATATATATATATTGTTAAATAGCTTTCTTGATATGGGGCACAGTCAAGCGGTTACTATAATTGTTATCTATGCTTTCGTAGCAATCGTAATCTATTTCAGCAAGTAATTATTGAATTTATCTGATTACACTGCATATCATGGGTTTGAATACATAAAAGTGTAACTGAAACTAACAAAAACTTACTGCAAGTGCGAATGCAAATAGGATTCGAGGATACAATGGGCGTAACGTCGTGTTTCCGGATTTTCTTCGACACAGCGTTGAACACGCCACCTTGAGTGGGAAACATCGCGTATAGGCATTGGCTATCGGTAAACTGTAAATCGTGCGTGTGATCGCCAGAGGTTCTTTTACGGGAGAATTTCAACGTTGTAATACCATTGACCCGAGCGCCAGATATGTTGGCAATGTCCTGACTAGGATCGAGCAGTGGAGCCTCGTAGCTATCCATCCAAACGTCCATAATAAAAAAACGACCAGTCTCTTCGACCCAGCCAAGGATTGCGTCCGTCTCGGACATGAGCTTATTTTTTGAGAAACCAATACCTGTCCATTTCTTGCTTCTTGTTGTCACCGTGAAGTCGATCATGTCGGTGTTATCGTTGTATCCCCATTGCGAAGTGTACTCACACGCTTCGCCCTCACAGTTACTGGGATGACGGAACTCGCCGAGGCAGTCGCCATTTTTCGTAACTTTAGGTTCCGGCTCAGCTTTAGGTTTAGTCTCAGGGTTTGGTTCAGGTTTAGGTTTCTGACTAAAGTGGTTTCCCGACTCTAATTTTGGTTCGGGCTCGGGTTTTGGCTCTGGTTCGGATTTGGCCTCAGGTTCATATTTGGGTTTAGGTTCATGTTTGGGTTCAGGTTCGGATTTGGGTTCAGGTACGCTCTTTGCGGCGTCTGAATCTGTTACGACACCTGTGCTTTGAAAACAGGGTTTCATGCAGATCCTTTCATTTGACACTACTGGTGTACTTTCATGTTTGCCAATGCGCTTGACAAGGCTGTTGTAGGTACCCCCCTTAACGGGGTACATGATGTATAGGCATTCGTCTAGTCGCAGGTCCTGGCCCCGATCACCGGTGTTCCGCTTACGGGTAAACTCCAGGGTAACGACTCCGTTACGGTAGCTGCCGGTTGTGTTGTAGATGTCCGACGACGAGTCAATCGTAGGTTGGCTATAACCAGACATGAACCTGGAAAGACCCAAATACGACAGAATCATATACATCTAATATAATTGAGCCCACTAAATTCTACATGTCAACACGCCTCACTGAAATATTTGTGTTTCCATATAAAAAGAACAAGTATTTAAAACCATTAATATAGACTCATGATCTATGTAACCCAAGGTTAACATTTATTTATTATTTAAATCAGCTTTCGATTGATAGGTGTGTCAAAGTTAGCAACGGTGATTTGTAGGCGCACCGAAATCAAGTGGGTCATAGATGCTACAATTGTTTTTCGGTTCATCTAAGACTATTGTACTTTTGTCAGTAATAAGTATGGTATTAAGATTCGAACGCTCATGCAGTTCAGGCTCATATTTACGCAAACCCATTTATCTATGCGGGACGAAACCTGCGGCTACTGCGCAAATAGCTAACCCGTGAGCGAACGTTGGACTTTACAATTGAAGCCCTTTCGTGACAGTCCATGGAAGTCTGCGATGCGGTCCCCGCTTGCGAAGACTACTATAAGGAAACAGTCTCATTTGGAACCAAGACGTTTGCCTCGTATAAACACATACAAACGCAATACCTTCTATGGAGTAAAATTGTGCCAATGTATACCGACACTTCATTATTACCAACAAAAGGATCCATCAAAAGGAGCACGTCATCGTCTATATTTATAAGATTTGCAATTGTACGTTACGGATTTTAACTTTCGTTCGATGATATGCCAGTGACCATGAAATGACTACTATCAACATTGAAAGTATTTAAATTGAATACACCACGGAGACGTTTAGTCGAAAACTAGTGATCTTTAGTATTGTTTGTTTTCGTTGGAATGATCTAATGTTCAAAATAACCTTTTAACAGTGTTGTCGCTTCTCAAAATGTCTACATTTCCTCTACAAAGTCTGATAATCAGTCAGAGAAAAAGCGAACTTACGCGTCGTATACATAGAACCTTCCTGTTTTCTCGACCCAACCGATAATTGCGTCACTTCTTGCCATCTTTTCGTTCTTTGAGAAAGCTACTCCTGTCCAACGATCGGGGAAACGCGTCTGAACACGGAATTGAACCTCATCGCGTCCGCTAGAATTATCCACCTGCCACTCGATCTGGTAATCACATTGAAGACCGGTGCATCCTGACGGGAACTGAAACGCACCCTGACAACTATTTCCAGTACGTTTTAGTTCACCTGCAAAAAATTGAGACCATTATCTAAGCTGGTATTCAGCTATTTACCTTTATTCATGCATCTCAATTTGTATTTAGACCGCGGCCGATTATGATATCTTAGATACATATCACAAGACTAATATAATATTTTATATGGGCTTGCCGTAGAAGTCAATATTTCTCTAGCTAGATAGGTTTAAAGGTATGTATCTCAGGTGGTATGAGGTCATTTAAAAGCTAAGATGTGTTAAAATTGTTGGAATAGCTTTATTTCGACTCTAGATAAGCATGCTTTTAATATAACTACATTTTTTTTTTTGTAAAACATCATTACCATGAAAATTGTTCAGGTCCACGAAAATAATTGTTTTGTTGGTTACCACCAAGCTGGCTTGTCGAAGGAAGCGTATTAATTCAGTACTTTTGTCGGTTTAGCCATGGAAAGACGCCCCTCATGCTGATCGATCAACTACAGAAAAGGTTCAGGGAATTATCGCAAAAGTTGAGTAAGATCGACACGTAACCAGCCGTGAAATCGTTAACGAGTTACACATCCGTTACTTCCGTTAATTTCAATAAAACCGACTACAAGAAACATGTTAATGCTTAATATGGCACGAATAGAAACAAACGAGCTTGCTCAATCGAACGTTCCCATCTGCTTAACTTTGTAACGTACGCTACACAATCTATGACAATAGCCGAACCGATGCACACGAAGCTAATGCTATATGTTTGCTAAGGCAATCCTACAATGTGAGCTGTTGCAGTCTGGCGGAACGATCGATCTGGACGCGACAAGACGACGCTAAATCGTTGAAATAAATCGACTCAAACGAGTGAATAGAAAGGACATCATCTTTCACCATGACAATTCCAGCCTAGGTATACATGCAATTACCTGGCAAAAAGCGAGAGAACTTGAACGGATCCGCCATATTACATCATTAGACTGTCACCTGTTTCTGCGTCTGCAAAATTTACATAATGTTGGTTTAGTTTCAACAGAGGGACGCGAAAATTACTTGTCGCTATTCTTCCCTAGGAAACCACCGAAGCTTCACAATGATGGGATTACGGTGGTACCAGAAAAGTCGGCAAAAGCTTATTGATCGAAACGCTTTAGTTCAGTAGTATCGCTTTAGAACAATAATTATTTGCCACACTTAATAACCGTCGATGCTTCTTTTAATTGTATATAAGCATGGACCCTTTCGACTCTGTTGGTGCGTGCTCGAGATAATGACCTACTCTTATCGCAGGTTTCAACTTCCAACGTCATAAATTGACGTACAACCACTCATTTAAGTTAATCCTTCACCAGATGTTTTCTGGCTTATTTTCTGCAGGAGCTAAGCATTTGCAATAATGTTATCTATTTCGTGGATTCGTATATCGTAGAGGCCATTGAAAAATATAGACACGTTTATTTATTTCACCCTAACTGGAATTAGTATTCAGGGATCAATTAGCGATTCCTAGCGAAGTCACCCTTCCTCAAGCGCAGGTCACGCAAACATGACTTCTTAATAATCTATGCCATTACGCGTTCGTTCGTTGTGCTCCAAAATGTTTGTAAGCGAATATGCGTCGTTCCGTAAAAAATAGTCAGGACCTAGATTTCATAACAACAGCACTGACGACCTACTTCGTGTTATATTCGAGGAATATCGTGTGGGAAGGACCCTCGCATTTGCCAGCTATCACTGTCTATCGCGCACGCATCGTATCTAATCTTCAGGCCTATTATGCTATCGATACGATAATCTACCTGCGATTATCTCACATTCCCTTATTGTAAACAAGAAAGAAGTTTGTCAAGATAAGATATTGCAACAGTAAAATCTGCCACCATCGTTAACTATTAGCTGAAACTTAGGGTGCTCGTGGATGGCACCGCAATAACTCTGCGCGCTCATGGGGTATAGCTTCAAACCGAAAAAAACCACGCATAGATGAGACCACGTTTCTTTCCCAAATCAAGCAGAGTGATATCTAGCGTATTTCTTGTTGTCCAAGCAACAACATGGAAAGAAAATATCATCTAAGTTTGGCACTCAACACATATTCAACGATGTTAGAAAATATCAGGCTTGGGAAATACTAAACGTCGTGACCTATAAAAATAGCCAAATGAATTGATTACTTCGGTGCCTTTGTTGCAAGACCATAATCGTAAGTATGATAACATACATTTCTTTACAAGCTAAAACAGCCTTCTCGTGCACGGTCTCTCCAGGCTGGTCGTGGTGCTAAAGAGCGGCATCAAGCCTGTAGAAGGACAGCTTAACGTCAGCTATAAGGAAAATTTTTGCATAGACAAGGACATAACGTGCCGGTGACGATGATGATAATGTCATTATTTTTTCATGCGAACTGGAGTTCATTAATAAATTTCATTGTGACTCCTGTGCGCAAGTTACTAATCTGCTCAGGCAAATAGGACAAATAAGGTTTTCTCGAATAAAGTACGAAACTGTGCACAACCTTTAGCTTACCAAACGCAACCACATATATTAGCCCTTAAATGCTCGTCTAAATACTGCGACGCATCAGTTTCAGTTGGCGATAAAACATTACAGGAAAAGGGGACTCGTGGAAAGTAGTGAGAAGGACCAATATCCAATAAATCAACTGGAAATTGATTCAATAATTGCCCGATACATCCAAAATGACGAATAGAGCGACACTATGCATTGTGTCTTCGGGCGTCTAAACCAATTTCGTAAACTCATTCACTAAGAACGCTTAATGCCAGCACCAGAACAAGCACTCTGCCTTCTTTTTATTGTATAAAACGAATCCTTTCTGTCGTTCAGAACTGAACCTGGAGCGACGACAATTTTTTGTTAATTACAACTATAAAGATTGCTTTCAAGGCTTGCAAGCACATGGAAGTATTACTTTAAGACATATGGATTATAAGTTAGACACTATTAGCAACAAAGCTATGGCTGCGCAGAAAAAAATGATACCGAGAAGCTTTCTAACTTCACACTCATGAGATTCAAATCGCAGTGTCATTTACATTGTTACACAGAGCTGTAGTTGGATCCGCAGGATCACCTCATCATTCGACTACGCCTAAGGTTCTGAAAGAATTTTCTAGGGCTGATTGGTTAATTATCGTAGTCATCCACGGCTGTTACAATTGCGTCCTGCACGAAATTACGACGTAAAGCAGCCAACTGCTACTTGAAGTTATGAGTAGTGTACATAGTAATGGGTCTGTGTGTATCCAATTCACAAGAGTCGTTTGATAACCGTCATATTGCTTAGTGATGAGGGCCTTTTATTACAGGAGTGGCCGCCGGTCAGTGCTGATAATGAATAGATAAAGACTGAGTTCGTGTGCGTGACACAGCTTACCCACACGTGATTATCGAGAGATCTGTTCTTGCATCATACAGTTTCTCAAACAGAAACACATACCGTTTGCTAATAACACCCATACACAGAAATAAGCACATTTATGATTTGCTTATTTAGCCTATCGTGATAGGGAAAATTTCCTGATGCTAGGCTGCCGAGTGAGCCCGACACGGCAGAGGCAGGCTCCAAATTGGGGATTGAAGGGAAAGGGGTGCAGTCTACGCGATGTATCCCACCTCACTTGAGTTGGGTGAGCACAAGATGCAGAGCTTGCTCGCAAGATTATCTTGATTCATGCTCATCCAACTGAAAGTGCAGAAGTCTCTAAGGTGAGACAAATCAAGGTGGAGGATAAAGAGTTTGGTAAGATGGTTGCGGAATACTGGATGTCAGATGACATCTCATGCTGTCCCTATGTACCATATAAACACGGTCCGTCCCCTCACTCAGGCTTCCTTAGACCTTGTCCCAGGCTAATCAGGCTCCTGTCATGCATGTACAGATTCGCAATTGCTAGTAGTAGCTCGCCTGTCTCCAGCTTCCCATCTGTTCGCACGCGTTGGGTGATCAGGCTCACAGCCTGGTTGACCAAAGCTGGACGCGTGTGGCGCGTCTGTTAGGTGCGGTAGGCGCAAGGTGGCTGCTAATCAAAACAATGATCACTCTGAACAGTATCTTTGCATTGCCTCTCTTACCTCTCATAGCACTAATCATATTATTTTTTAACTATAATAATAATAGTAAATGCTTATCGATAATATAACAGCAGTAATACTAACTAAAACAAAACCGTTCACCGTTCGCCGTTCTTATACAATAATGTTTATGACAGCGATACACGTTCTTTTAACCCACATTCGAAAACAAGCCGAACTACGTCGCCCTTGTGGTTAGTCCATCCATTCCCTAGTGCTATTTTTTCTTCCATAACAGACAGTCACACACATACACAGACACACATGCGCACTAAATACACACGCTACATATGCGTCAACGAGTTAGGCGATTCCGTCGCTGCGGCGCATGTTGTTGTTGCCGGTGTCGTTTTGTCGGGAGTGAGTTGTCGGGTTCACCGCAGCGCGCAAAGTGTGACGGACATGTCTAGGGAGATAGGTATAGGATGATAAAGCGAGAGAAAAAGAGGTCGACAGAGGAACGGAGTCGGTCGTCGTTCCGTTGGGTCTTTCTGTCTATTGAACCGAGTGGACCCAGTGGACACTCACCCTCGTCCAGCAACAGAGTCTATCATTGCTTCAGCAACCGCTCTAATGGCGCGCTTTAGCAAGCTGCAGACACATGGGTCCATTACAATCATCCAACGGCAGTAAGACTCGTTGGCGTAGCTCAGCGTGTTCCCTCGCGCATCTACCCCGGTCCGTGATTAGATAGCTACATACCCAACGGCAGCATATATTCGGCCGTGGGACGCAGGATCAACACTCGTCCACGAGTCTGCGGACGAGCAGTAATCCACTGGTTGCATGTCTGCGGGTTCGACTCGCTGTGATTCCGAAACTATTATTTAACGGCAGAAGACGCAGTATGTAGCAGTGCTCGAAGTGAAAGGCTCTGACTAGGTAGACAAAAAGCCTGTGCGAACTTTTAGCTGAAAAGACGTGAGGTTGCAATAGTGCGTACTGCTTTCTGTTGAAAAGTTTAAAGTATCATAACAGGGTCGCAAACGAATCACAGATATTTGTCAGAGAGCTTGGTCCACTTACGTAACCGTAATCATGACGCAGGGCGCTCTCGAGTTTGGTATGACGGAGGACAAAGTGAACGGTATGAAGAACGAAGTGACCATCGATGATCTGCGCGTGAAAGACATCCATGGGCGACTGGATAACCATGAAATGGCTGTGATTGGTACCTACGTTGATAAACGAGTGATCCCGGGTTTTCTGTACCGCGTTCGAGTAATCGATTCGCCTAGCTACCTTTTCAATGGACAAGGTCTGCTGCTCGAGAGCATCGGCCGAGGTTACGGCAAGCGTATCACCTTTGAGAGCGAATCCCGAAATGAACCATACAACTATTTCTATTCCGATACCGTTCCAGAGGGGTACGCGTTCGCACCTGTAGCAATCCGCGTTCACGATCAGCTAGATATACTCCCTATATCTGGAACCTCTCACGGCGATAAGAGCTGTGGCCGACTCCAGGTCATTAACCTGACCCGACCTCAACGCGAGATCAGTACCCGACTGAATGATAATGGCCGCAGCTTGTGGAAATCGCTCGAAGTCTACTTCACGGCCAAGGTTCTCTCCGCAACCGATCTACTCTTATCGTGCAAGGTACGCTCCTGGACTAGTATCGATTGCATCGGTGTGTGCCACGTAGTGAAAAAACGGGGAGCTAAACGGGCAGAAATCGACCACGTTGATCTGAAGGTCGGTAGCTGCCTTGCCGGATTCAAGCTCGTACCACCATCCCAAGGTGCATCACCATTACCCGTGAGTTGAGCCAAAGCTTCAATGTCATGCACGTAAGGTGAAACATGAAGATGACCTTCCGTCATGACAAAAAGAGTCAAGAGAATCTTAAATGTTAAATTTACTCAGGGTTGGTTGTACATCAGTATGTACACTAGCATTCCACTTGTGCCTTATTGAAAATGTAAGATAAGTCCTGGAGTTCGAGTTAAAAACATACGAAAAATAGGTCGCTGACGGGGCATCGCCACGCAGGGCACAATCGCCTCTTTGTCCATTGTTATGATCAGCATAACAATCGTTTGTTCCATCTATTGTTCATTGTTCTGTATATGCGATCTGAGGAAATCGATTGTGATCGTCGACAAGTTTGAATAGAAGGATCATATAAATTTTGACGCTTTAATAGCTGCTCAGAAATTGCACTATGGGAATAGAGCCGTTTTCTAGTCGTACACATCTGTACATTCAGGCAAATTGGGTCCGTATAACAAGGACGAGCGAACTCGTAGACACCGAATAGTCTGCTTTGTACATGTACGTTAGTTGAAAATTTGAACGCTTGGAAAATAAAAAATAAATCTGATCTAGTTCTAATCGCTAAATCAGAGATTTTACAGTAAAGTATGGCAAAATAGCCATAGAAAAACATAGTCATTGATTCATACATAAAAGTCATTGCGGTGTTTTTTTTGTATCAATTTTGGTCGCTAAAGTTTATCTAAATACTAAAAGAAATACATGCTAATATATATATATATATATTATATCTCTGACGGGCAAAACATATATGTTTTGCCCGTCAGAGAACAACGAATAGAAAAATTTACCGACAGGAGTGGTAGTACTCTGTTCTCGTAAAAACAATGTTTTAGATTTGCTTCGCAGTTACATAATGAACAACAATTTGTTGCGTATTGTTTCATATATGCAATCTATAGATCATGACAGATAAAATAGCTGGGCGGCAAAGAGCGCACATATGTATACAATAAGATAGATGATTTCTAGGGAAGTTTTGTAGGCTCAGTTAGCTCATCTGTTTCAAGTAATTTTTTAGTAAGCACATAGCGCAAATTACTTCCAGACTGTGAGTACTTGACGACTTTTTAATCGTAAACAATTTTGGCACGAAAGCCTTCAGAGAAGGGATCTCCCGACTCAGTTGCACAATTGAGGAACAGATTTAGAAATCTGAAAACGTTTACTCTGGGATAACTGTTAACAAAAATCAGTCTACCTTGCATTGAAGGTAATCGCAAGAAACCTGCGCATATAATAATTAAAATTATATTTCTCAGGTTTTCACTCCGATAGGCGCATGTAACTAATTCCACACTCAATCCATAAAATTATGGTCAATAAGAATCTTGCCTATCACAGTTACTAACGAGCTACCTGTCTGCGTGGCAACCCCCTGAGAAAGACCTGGCTAAAGTGTAGCTTCTATAAAGCGCTACTTCTATTTTTTGTAAGGTTCAGATCCACTCGAAAATCTCGACAGGTATCAAAGTAAACTTTTTTTTCAGGACATCCGTTGTCTTGAGAGTTCCATGGACAAACGCCGTGGCGGTCGATAATACAAAGCAGATCGTTTTAACAGATTTGCTTGAATAAGCTTTAATTGACATATGGTAAGTATACAGGAACTGAAAGATATCCAGAGTGCTATTTCCTGTATGGCAGGTAACAAGGGAAGATATTTCTTAGTATGCTAGTACATAGAGAGCTAAGTAACCTTTGTTATAGTTAAAAAAATCTTTATCGTTAGGAAAAGTTTGTTACATATAAGTCTTTCACGCTTTGATCACAGATAATGAGCTTTTTCGGTTTAATGACTGTTTAACGTGAAGTAATACATATGGGCTGTGTGTGGTCTACACATGGTGCTACTAGTGTATTTAATCTGTGTTATCTCTACAGTTTTAAGTGATAGACCTGTATCCCAAGGTACAGTTATACTGAAAATATAAGCTTGATCCTATAATGTACGAATGTGTGGTTCGCAGTAATTACCGAAGCTTAATTTGTTATTAACATGCTTCCTTAATAAAGGGGCAAAGTTTGCACCCTGAAGAGTTGAACCCAATGAAAATCTCGTTTTTTTTTTACAGATTACACTAAACGATTATTATTTATGTCGTGCCAGATACACCTAGTTATTTTTCTTTTTTATTTTGTAGCAAAAAAAGTACCATTTGAGTCTTGAATTAAACGTAATTGGCTGGTTGGATTACATTTTTGCGAAATATGCGTTACTTTCCGGATTAGCGAAGATAAATTTAAAAAACCGGAAAGTCTACTGATGAAGCTTATTTGGAAAAAAATGTATATATACTTTATCTTTTTGCATTTTTGCCTGATGATTACAGAATTGATATATGTTTATAGTGTTAATATATCATATAGGCCGTAGAAAAGTAGGCCGTCATTATAGCTAAAGGTAATGGAGACCGTAAACTAAATTTGAATTCGTACCTACGACTAAAGGGGTGGCTCCCGCTTCGCCAACATCTCTGTCACCATTAGCGCATACACACAAACCTTATACTGCTATACAAGACCATAGTAAGAAAATCATTAATCCCACTGCTCAGGTCCTGTTATTCCACAATTTTTAACCCGTAAACATTTCTTTTTCCTGCTCTTACTCTCTCTCTCCACTATATCTTTAATTTCAGATACGTTAGACAGATATTGACTAAGAACAAATACTAACTACGCTTGGATCGATTTCCCTGGCGGCTAGATCTGACTCATAGTTAGTCGATTTGCAACTACCTTTTAGAGAAAAAACAATACTTAGTTAGAGTGGCGCAGTCTGAATAAAAACGTCCGCAACCTGGCGGAGATTTTTCTCAATAGGCTTGTGGTAAGAAGGTAGCTGACCGTATTGCTTGCCTCGTGGTGGTACCCCGACACTTAGAACCTCCTTATACGTTCTTTGGGGCCTTTGATTAGGAAACTACTAGAACGTGCATCTGAGTCACACGTCTTAGTGACCGGGTAAAATAAGACCGCTTATAATGATTGTCGACAAATTCAGAGGACGAATGACTCTAAATAGCAATGGAGATCTAACGGGTATCCGACATGCCGTTGTTCAGAATCAGATCTCTTTTCGAGCTGGTTTATGTTGGACTAAGCATAATCAGGAGTCGGTACATTTAGCGAAGTACTTGACAGGACGATAAAACGAATTTAAATTGCTATCACAAACAAGTTGAGAACCTGTCTCTAGGCAAAGACGAATTGTTTGGCATTCACAGGAGACGATTTTTAATAACCACAGTTTCGTTAACCAAAATAATCAAGCAAAGTTCGACAAATTATTTGAAAGTTCGAAAAAAAAAACTGGAGATGTAGGACACAACAACACAAACAGAATGCAATTCTATTTTTAGAGAGGGCCAAAGAGGAAACGAAAATAAGCAGCATGTTCGAAATGCTTTAATCTAGTCTGGTACTATAACCAAACTTTCTTGCCTTGTGCAGTGCATCTTGCGTTGTAGAACGTAACCCTTATCCGAGTCAACGATTACCTACAGAGGCAGCGCCCACTTCATAACGACTGAAACCGATAATCGCAGAAGAATGTTTTCTTTTGAGGAAGCAACATACAAACTACTGAGCAGTCTGTAAAAATTTGATAATCATTCTTTAAAAAGCTGCCCAAGCGCCTGCCTTTCAAAAGTCAACCCCATAAGTAATATGCTTGAAGTAAAGATCACAGGTGTCACACCCCGGATCGAAGGAGGTGTCGTTGCTGTCAGCAGGTAGTTTCGCAGGAAAAAAAGTTTGTTGATTTTCATTGTATGGAGCCTGTCGACCTCTATGATAGCGATTACAAACCCAGCTATAAGCAGTCACTTTATAGCCTCAATTAGTTAGCATGATGAGTAGATGATACGTCGTATGCAACGTATGTGAAGACAATTTAGCTGCTAAGATCAACATCTTTGAAGCTTGTTCGAAACTATTCAACAAGCGCCTCAATGGTCTATTGACCTTTTGGGCCTGTAAGAATTCTATTGTCTGCATTATTTTCAAACGCGTGATTATATTCCTCGTTGTAGGTTTCCTTCATGTTAACCCAGGTGAGACCATTACGGAAGGTCGTTTGTCACACTCAAACAAACTACAAAAAAGCATGCAGATCCCTGTTTCCTGAAATTGAAATACCTAATTATGATTAATGTTTTACGGTATTGAATACTAATCCGTCTGTTTACTTTGATAGTCTGATGGCGTTCGATGGTAACTCTGCGTACTTAGCTGGCAATGAACAAGTTAATCTGTGCCTACAAGTTAATCTGTGTCTCACCTTAAACACTGACCTGAATCTTGTAAAAGTTGTACTTTAAATTTCTTATTAATGAAATGGAGAGGCATAAAACCACGTGGAGCAGGACAGGAATTGGGTGGGCAAGGTGCACGAAAAATTTAAACGTAAAAGACGAGTTTGCGGCACAAATACTCACTGAAAAAATTGATCGTTGTCTTTCCGCGCTGATTTTTGTGTCCATGATATTTGATTTCGTCCTCTCGATAAAAGTCGACAATTTTCGCTTTTCCCTGATCTAGGCCGGTTTTAGGTTGGTGAATATAATTGCCGTGCTGCTGACCTTGAGCCCAAATGACGTCCATGATCTCGTTTTCAAAGCTGTGATCCGCCATATCGTCCGATACGAGGGGCTTCCTGAATATGATTGTCGAAGTGCTGATTAGTTAGAAATTTTATATATTGTGAGTGCTACTGTTTACCGTATGACTTTTTCGGGAGCCGCTTCAGCAGAAAAAAGACTCTGCGTCGACAAGCTCTTATCCATTAGGGTATCTAAAAAACTCCCATTATGATCGATCCTTGAGGTTTGTCGGAAGTAGATGTACTCCGTTTCGTGTCAGGAACCAGTTCTATAAAACAAAAAGCGTGATTTCGCATTTACCGCTAAATCGACTTCAACCCAAGTAAACAAAAGCTTTCCTTTAAAATAAGTCGTCTTGTTTCGATTGCTCATATCTAAAGAGCATCGACACAAGCTACAACCAAACTTCTTAACAAGACATATATATATATATATATATGCAATAGAAATGTTATTGCAACAGTAAGCGAGTTAACTGGCGCTACACACACCGTATGAAGATAAATCTATTCTCGTTTGTTTCGAATCTAGGAAACATAATATAATGTCGAGTAGCGAAGTTGTGGAGTCGATTCGGTCTGGTGCTTGAAGCCTACAGGGTCGAAACTTGTTTACAAACAATTTGGCCGAATCTGTCGATGATTACCGCTAGTGTAAGATATCAGCTTACCACAGGTTGATCAGACCTCTCTATCTGTCCAAATAGAGTGCATACATGCTCATTAATATAGAACTACCTTGTCAAATGTCGATCGTCTTAACAATGCTATGTTTCTTGTTTAACGTTATCAGAGAACTTATAGTATTGTTGTCCACTAACAATATATTATGGATAATAGGCTACCGGTATCTTACGTACATTTATATTACGCCAGGAGAAATTGGACCACCAAAGCGACCGGGTCCTGAACAAAACATCTGCTAAATATTGCTGGCTGTCAAATGTCAGCAAAAGCCATAGCGGACACAAAGGTCGCCTCGTTGTAGGTTGACAAATAATGTATTGTCAGCAGACTCATGTGTTGACCGTCTAAGCGAACTGACGCCGCCACCTAGCACTGCAACATATTGCACTCAACTTCTTAGCTGTGAGCTGAAAAGTTGAATCGCCGTACTAATTAGAGAGTTAGTCTCAACTTCCGATGCTAGCAATACCCGGAACAATCCCATGCGTTTGTTATCAATTCGTTGTGGTAAAAAAAATAGCGAAACCTGACCAGAATCTAACCTCTATGGACCCACAAAATGGGCTAGCTCTTTTCGGTAGTGTTTTCTGCCATTGTGTGCTATGCCGTATCGAACATCTGGATGCGTTTGTGCAAACCCTATGTATCAATGAACGTAGAAACAATACCACATCTATTACGGGCTTCGCATATCGGATCTTATCTTCACTTCCGTGGTTCGTTATTGCAGTGTCTACGCATTTTGCGGAGAATTCGGCCATGAAAGTCTTCTCAAAAAAGCCCATTTTCTCAATTGCTTTTGTTCTTGTTTGCCGGAGGCATTTACTTCGCAAACATAGTGCCCCGGAATTAGCCTATACTTGTCGTCATATGATATATGGGACTGCGCTTTTTAACTAGTATGACATTCTCCATACTGATGAACGACTGTATGACCGCGGAAAGCGGGTTGTGTCGACAGGCGTTTGCGTGGGGAATTTTTATAAAAGCGTATCTGCTTGGCGCGGGCCAAGGATACATCTTGGTAACCATCGTCGCTATTCACCAGATGTCGTTTACTATGCTAAGGTTCCAGTACCTTTCACACGTTTGTACGCTTATTGCTCCCACATGGAAGGGTGTGCTGAAAATTGCGCAAGAATCAACGTAGGACCAAGAAGAGTAAATTCGAAGTGAAGAAAAAAGTTAAAAATGGCATCAACAGCGCTAGTGGAAAGTGTCATCAAAAACCGTGAATCAGAAAGAAAATCGTGACAAAATGGACAACAAACAAGTGGATAGTAATTGTGATGATACAAAAAGTACACAAAATCACGTTATTACTCATACAAATGAAAGTCATAGCAGAAAAAGGAGTAAACCGCCAAAGAAGTCTAGTGATCCCGTGTCACTCTGGACAAAATTAGGTCACATGCTACGGCTGTCTGGCGGTCTGCTCTTCTACCTCAGTCTTAGACGCGTGTCCGAACTGAGTGTAACCTGGGAATTCCCTCCTGTGTATCTCACGCGTCTTAGTTTTAGGCCAATGTTCGCTAGAATGGGTTTCACGATTTCTACGTACTCGGCGCAGGTATCCTATTCACTTCTCTGATCGCGTCCCTAAAAATAATCGGATTGTGTTTACGATAAACAGGCGCCGTTACAGCTCATCCTACTCATCTACTTCGTACTGGGTGCGCTAAGATCAGTCACAGATTCTGTTCTAGCACCACTTGCAACGTATGCCATAGTTACGAACAAAATTCTAGCGGTTGTCAAAACCTGTATGGTTTTATATTTTCTGCAACAAAACGCTCAGCTACCAGCCAAAATGCGGCTTACGCACATTGGCTTGTTTGCAGCAGCCGACAAGGCGGCTACCTGTATAATGTATTGAGCCACCGATTCAGCCGTGGCAACGACAGGAGTCCGGAAAGACGCCATCGTACTTGCTGAAACAATAGCCATTCTTGCGGTGACCGCAATGAGAATATAGCAAAATAAGTAATTCGGTGGACATCCAACTGAGCGCACCAAATTCAACTGAGTGTATACCCTTTCTAGCCTGGTTCTCCTCATCGTGTCCGACTCTGAAGTATCTTGTACACGACTACGGAAGCTAACTAGAAACGTCTGACATGGAGCGACATGACTGCGTTAGAGCAGTGTAATCTATGAGCATCTGCAGCTGACTAGCTAAAATTCGTTCAGCAGTTGGCAAAGAAACTTGATAAAATACAAACATGTGAATGACGCCGTTACGATTCTCTCTAAATACGGGTTTTATTTTAAGAATGATGGTAGTAACAACATGCCTGAACACGACGATGGTCTCTCCATTTTCCTCGTAAGCTAGTGCGGCCGTGAGATGGTCTTGGCCCCCCCAGAAAGAATCAGCCTTTGGTGTAGATCGGTCCCTTGTATAGTAATCGTAGACACGACTCAGATTACCGCGAGCGACGCCCATTACGATATCGGTGCAATCCATGGCGTGGAAGTCTGCTCGGGGTGTATAAGGTGTTTTTTTCGGGTAGTTCTTTTTCGCTGGAGCGGAAAATGAGCGGCCGGTGGCAGTTGTAGTCTTTAGATTGCTAGATGGTCTGAGTTCAAATTTTGGTTCAGGCTCTGATTTAGGCTCAGGCTCTGATTTTGGCCCAGGCTCTGATTTTGGTTCAGGCTCTGATTTTGGTTCAGGCTCTGATTTTGGTTCAAGCTCTGTCTTGGGTTCAGGCTCTGTCTTGGGTTCAGGCTCTGTCTTGGGTTCAGACTCTGTATTGGGTTCAGACTCTGACTTGGGTTCAGGCTCTGACTTGGGTTCAGGCTCTGACTTGGGTTCAGGCTCTGATTTTGGCTCAGGCTCTGATTTTGACTCAGTCTCTGATTTCGACTTGGGCTCTGACTTGGGTTCAGGCTCAGACTTTGGTTCTGGTTCCGATTCAGGTTCAGGTTCTGCTGAAGCAGAGGGTTCGGATTTGGGCTCACGCTCTGAAGATGCAGAAGGTTCGGGTTCTGATTTAGGTTCAGGCTCAGATTTGGACTCAGGTTCGGGTTCGCTTTTGGGTTCCGTATTGAACCCAGGTTCTAAGTGTTCATCAGAGCGGGCTTCATCGGATTGTTCCAATGATGAAGGTTGAGGTTCTGACTTAGGTTCTGGCTCGGATTCGGGCTCTGCGTCACTCTTAGGCCCATGCTTTAAGCTAGGCTCGGGCTCACTTTTGGGTTCAGATTCGTAAGTAGGCTCCGGTTCAGGTTTGGGTTCAGATTTAGATTCCTCTAAGGAAGGTTCAGGCTCAGGTTTGCTGACAGATTCTTCGTTGGGTGTAGGTTCTGGTTCCGATCTGAGTACGGGCTCAGAAGAAGCTTCTTCCGAACTTCCTTCCTCTGAACTGCTTGTCTCCAAATCCTCTTGAGGCTCGACCTCTGCTTTGGGTTCCGCTTCACGACGAGTACGGGGGGATGCTCCGATCGTTGGGAATGCTTTACAATCTCGCGAAATACCTTTTGGCCTCCAACCAATAGCGGCATAGCTATTTCCCTTCACCTTCATCACTATTTCGATCTCGGCCTTATCCTGAAATGGCAATGAATCGCAAAAGAGAAACAATGAACGAAAGTTCGGCAAGTCTTTCGGAAATCTTCCAAACTAAATCTGGTATATAATACACTGCATTTACTGCAACTAGATAATTTCAAATGTACGTATCTTATTTATGCAAGAGCTTCGACGCTTGCATCATCCTTGAGTTCGAGTTTTGACAAAGGCACTTAATTGGGTATTTCATTTTCTATTGAGCACGCTCACAGGCACATTATCCTAAGTAGAATGGTTACGTTAAGTTATACCATTTTATTACAAGTTGTTTGTACCGTAAATCACGACGTGGCCACGATCGGCGTGTACATTCGGAATGCATTGGTGTTCGAAATCAGAAATGTTTTGCTAATCTAGTTTTTTATTATTTCTATCCTGTTATTATGTCTCTCTTATACATCTCCATACCATCTAAACGTAGGACAGACCATACTTTTGAACAAACTGTGAGCTTCAGAGACACTGACGACATAAAAAGGTAATTGACAAGCAATATATGGCAATATATGTTATAAAGAGCTATACTCCTGCGGGTATCTTGCTCTTTTGGAATAGTAACTACAGCGATCGGCATGTTCCGTGTCATTCCTTTGGCCAGGTGTGACAATAGCTTCTAACCCGGACGTTTTTCTGCTTTCTACAAAGCAACCCAACACGGATTTGCTACGGATCTGATAAAAATGATATCGTCTATAGTTTGAGCAGTAACTTTCGTGATTTATGATAATATGGTGGTAATATGGTTAAATAGAATAGGACACACGAAATTTGATCGCCAGATACATACGGACTGAAGTCAGTCATTTGGATTTACCAGCGTTTGAATTTTCTCTAGTCAAATCAGGACATATAATATCGCAAGTAAGATGGCGTAAAAGTAGAACTTTGACCAAAATGTCAGTAGGTACATTTTGTTTTATATGAACTTCATCACACAGTCCGTTTTCATGCGTGCATTAGATACGGACAGAAATATACTTTACTAAATATCATACTCCATACATAGATCGAGATCTCTCGTTTATCTTCATTTAGAAACGGCGAGAATAAGACAGAACAATACAAAATACCATTTGACCCTGCTAAGATTCATAGTATGATCCAAACATTGCCAAACACATAATAGCCGCTTCGACTAATGGAGGTCTACATGATTCTGGGTATATGACTTCAACGGAAGCCTCATTTGGCTGATGGCTGTCAGTTTTTGAGGGTATGATTTTTTTCGCAATGGATACTGCTTAATAAAAAGTGACCCTTTTTGGTTATGTTTGATAGAAACTAGAAGTTATATTAGTTGTTTTGCAGAATCACAGTTTTTTTTTTAACGAAAGTTGCGATTTGCAGGATACCGAGTCTGTGCAGTCTGACGAAGCATGCCGAATTTTCATCACGAATTAGAAGCTGACATTTTTTTGTGCTAAACTGTGCGTAACAGAACTGGATCTTTTAATTGAGATGTCTTAACCAAATGAATTCTATCGGAAATCTGGTTTAGTTTATTCAGCTAACAACGCCAGTGAAATCTGGCTCATCATTAAGTTAAAAAATGTTTACCACTGAAAGCTGACTGCTTATTGTTCATTTCTGATTATTCTAAGTAAAGAGTTGCGCCTAACTGTTCACAATTTTGACGCGTTGGTCCCGTGTGCCAAGCTGTTGCAAATTTAACTCAGAAACTTCGCCCTGCACCGCCTCACTGTGAATTCATGGTCTGCAAACAGTCATTGCACGCAGAGAAAGGCTTGTCTATTCATAGGTGTACACGGATTGTGATCCTTGGCTCTGACTCTGAAAACTCAGAACTAGACTCAGAATAGAGAAGAGGCCGTCAAATGATCAGAAGTGCCAATGGCCCGACTTAAGTATGCCGTATAATAATTTATCTGACCATCAAATTTACAAGTATAACACCGTAGCATGTGCCCAATCAGGTTACAACCACAGCTTTTCAGTTTCCGACCTTATCGCCTACTCTGTCCTGTGGGGGTAGCTGCCTACCACGCTTTGCCCAATGCTCACGGATCAACCGATGCCTGTGTTAGTAGTAGTCTTCTGGGATTTACGAACGGCACGCAAAGAAACTAATTCGATTTATGGCGAAGTAAGAGGATCGGGATCGAGTTAGAGTGCACTATGTTATCCCTTTTTAAAAAGGAACGGTTGATTCCGGTAGAGTGTTATAAATTTTTTCTCTCAACACGTACATTATCAGTTAATGAAATTCATCTGAAGCGATAGTAATCTGCTATCACCGTCGTTTGAAGCTTTCTGCACTGACATTCTCCATTAAATCCTTCACTAGTAGTTTTTCATAACAAGTATAGAATAGCTATTAAACATCTGGGTAAACGGAAGGTAAAGGTCTGATTGTAGCAAAAACAAACTTACTCCCTTTTCAGGGTTGTTTCTTTTCTTTAACTTACATATACTGGGGTATTTAACAGGGTAGCCTAACTTTAACAGCTGTTGTGTTTGATATAGAAACAGGTGCAAATAGTTACCATTTAAACGGTCTACAAACGGGACAGTGTGGACAGCTCGATGCCAGTTTTCTTAGATTTCTTGGACGGAGTCTACAACATTAGCTGGAAGTCTTTCTAATAATACCCTTCCCGGCAGCCCAACAGGTTATTTGCAGTTTCACTTGCTGACAGACTATCCAGGCAAATAGATCCCGCGATCACAGCTTGCCTTCGATTTCCATGAACGTAGCAGACTTAAGCCAGCTACATCCCCATAATGAAAGCTTCTCTCCAGCTTGGCGCGAAACTTGGCGCGAAACTTGGTTGGCTAGTCCCAATACACAGCTATCGACCAGGGTATAATGTATCGAAGAAGCAGGTATCGATGGGTTCGTTTCAGGCTTTGTGCTGTTCTATCTCTATAAAAGCAACTTCCACAACCGGGAGACTGCATGAAACAAATCCCTGCTATTGACAACTCCTGGGGCATAAGGTATCGCCAATGTTATAATGCGAACAGAGGTATAAATGTATGTACGCAGGATATTGCGTAGGGATTTTTTTTTAGACGGCTGACTTTTCCCTCTATGCTTCTGAGTCTCTGTTTCTGTTTGTTATCACCGGAAAGCCGGTTCCCAACACGAAGCGAAGTGTGGTTATGATCGGGCTCGAACCTAGATCAAAACGTATCCCAAAACATTAGCAAGCAAACACGTTGCCCACTAATCTATCAAAGGAACTTCAGCACATCTAAAGTAGAATAGTTTACAATTACTTTGTCTACATTGTTTTTCTGGATGTAAGATTGCCCTCGTGTAAACCGATACGGGTCCTAACGTTGTATACCAAAGAGTTTCTCAAAAGACACGTTTTCATCAGGCTATAAATCAAAATATAAAGTTCATTATCAGGTCTTCTGCTGGTTCAAGTTTCCTCTAAACAAACGCATCCTTCATTAAGAAAATCACAGGTTAGCGATTGCCTCATCTATTACCGATCGTTACCATAAAGTGGTTGTGCGAAACATTCCGCTTAAAAAAAGGCCGACATTGCCATTTAATTAAAAAATTAATTCATGGTACTCAAATTGGAAGCAATTTGGCAGGTAGCTAAAAATCTAAACTTTATATTTTCAGTCAGTGAAGATTACCTAGATACTCGGAAAGCAATGCTAAACATAAGTGATTGCTCTGAGCAGTGTTTCTAGTTGTGCTATCATGAATTATGTATCGCCAACAGCACAACAATATTATCATCTTCGTTTATCCTGTCATTCTTCATTCTGTGTCGTCTGCTCTGTTAAGCAAGCAAATTTCATCTACCTAAAACGTTCATGTCTCACATACCCCTATTATTTATGAAATTGCTTGATTATCTTCACCACTGCACTGCAACCCCAGCGACCGTCACCGCTGCCTATTATCAATGTGCTATTGTGCTGTAGTATGACTACGGCATCATCATATGCGAGTTTCTATTCTTCGCCTGGTGTCGCTGTGGTTCTGGCCCCATATATATATATATTTAATCTGAGTAGATTCAAACAGGTTTGCGGCCATCATGTGTGAAGGTCGATCGTTATTTCATTCGACGCGAAGCATTGTTTCTCTGGCCCACTCACAAGATTTTTGCAAGATTCGTTCGTCAGCTGGCTGTCTATTATAGTTTAAAAAAAAAGTACAAACGATGTTCATGCTACAGTACAAAGCGTTCCTGCCAGCATTGTAACGGCGACGGCGTAATAAGGTTCATAGTCTCTAGCAACTGTTGATGAAAGCGATACGGGTATTCGAATCGTTCGTTCAAGACGTGGGAATTAAGATCCGCAACACATGGATTCTGTCGCACGGCACGTCAGCAAGCAGACGCACAAAGGGCGTCTGTCACGCTTTGGTGCTTGTTGACACGCCACAGAGATGACTGAATAGATAGAACTTTGACCAGTTATTATAACGCCATGCTATCACTGCATGGGTTGTTTGTCATGTTGACAAATCGATAGCCTTATCGATAATGTTAGTAGAGCATCAGTGAATGAAGGAAAACGTTAGGTAAGAACTGAAGAAAAATTAGTAACGATAAATAGATGATCAATGGCTTATTGCATTCCATAATAGTCTGACTGAAAATTGCGCATGCGTCTGCTATCGTAGCTGACAAATTTTGGTGAAGATCACTTGGTATAACAAGACTTCAGTTATTACCATGAACAGTGCCTGATCCCTTCTCATTCAGTTTGCTTCTGTGTACAGGATCACTGAGTGTAGCGCGTGTGAACGTATGGAAATTTTGTCTAAAAGACTTTACTGTTATTCCGCATGGCCTGTATAAAGGCGTACAGGTTATATCGACGACCCCATGGCAGGTCACGAACGACCTGACAAATATAAATTTCGAATATTATAGCTTGAAAAAGAGAGGCACTTACATAACGAAAGCAGCAAAAAATACTACTTGACGGTGATGCCGTGCTTAGCCTTTTGATATTATGTATCTCTAGCATGATGATAAGGGCATCCTTTGTTCTCATCATAACTACGTTGTACATAAACAAGCTCACATGAAAGTAAGTAAAATATGCATTTGGAGTGTGCAGAGAGAAAAAAACTGCGAGTGAGAAAGCTTTTTATGTACTTAAAAGTTCTGCCCAGAATATCAATAGGTCAATTGCAAAAGTGCAAGATTTTAGAAACCCATTCTCAGCTAGCCAACGTAAATGGTTCAACATGCGCCCCAACAGCATAATACTCGAATTAGTAGATATTTCAGTTTGTGTATGGATATTTCCTATAGCGCTAGTAATCACCAATAGTGATTACTTATTCTAGCGAACGGACCACCTGATAATTCTAATACTAGATCAGCACTAGCTGGCAAAAATAATTAAGAGCTAAAGCGAACAAATCGGAATAAACGTACTATCCTATTCTCTCCGTAACCGCATACAATTATATTGGATAAACGTTTGCCGTCCAAGGGCCGATACACGCAAAATAGGTATGCCCCTTTTCCAGTGTTGTAAACTCATAGGCTTGTCATAATAGAGCTAATCTTGCTTCACAAATAATATGGTTTTCCTTGAATATTGAAGCCTTCGATAACATTAGATCTCTCTGTAGGCTAATGAACAGAAGCGTACGGAGCTTATGTAGAGGCACCGTACTGGCGACTGGTAGCGCCATCTTTGTTAAATGCGTAACATCCGCAAGAAAAAAAAACTGATTTGAAAACGCCTTAAACAAATTTGGTTGAGGTAACATGATAATTACAATTAGAGACATGTTAACGTCCACGAAAGAGGTCCTACGATTGCGAGCTCGGTAGGTGTATCGCTTTTCAAAGCCAGAAAATGGGCAAAATTTTATATTGTTCTCAGGCTCAATTGTTAGCATTGCAGGCTACGACCGATCCAGGCAGCGAAGGGGAGCCACTCTCGCGAGGAAGTACCAATCAGGTCATCGATCTAATCAATATGCATCTTTGATGACTGGCATGGTAAGTGCACATGAATCATAACTGCAACGGGCCCCACAGTCGCTATCGATCCCTCGATCGTCATCGACAATCCTGTAACTAACTACACATTAATGTTATCCCTGTCGCCTGAGTCCGTCTTATATGAATCAGCACGTTTAGGCCACGGCAGCGGTGATAAAAATCGGAAAGGAGCTAAATCGCTTTTGTTGTCGTCCTTGTTCTACGAACATGACTAGATGATAGATACCCAAGGTCGACTGACAGATGAGTCTATGTACAAAAGATCGGTGCCAGCATCACAACAACCCCCCAAATCTGTCGCTCAATCTGGAATCAGCGTCAAGCTGCGCCGAAAACAGCGGTCCAAATAACATTGCGATTACTATTCGTACCATGCTGTACACCGTAGGGCTAATCTCGTCGGTGACTATTCGTCAATCAGCAGTCATCGTCGGACGACAGCTAATTCTCAGTTATAATCATTAGCAGTAAGGAGTATCGACTGATAAGCCAATCCCGTATTGCCCATCGTCACAATATTTTTTTGCGAAAGCATTTTGTACATAGAATCAACCTACTCCTGGCCGATTTCAATGGAGGGAATAAGGAGTTCTACTGCCCAAATCGACGCCCGTCGCTTTCGATCCTTTGGCTATTCTTTGACGGGTAAAATTCTTGTATGAAAATTTAGCTACGAACCGTTTTGTTGGTCAGAATGGCAACAATTGTGCACGGTGATGTATATAATACTAGGTTGTGTAAGTGCGAGGGACGAGCGACCTAGTATAAAAAAATGAAGAGATAAAAAAAAAAAAAGATGGTATTTAATGATGTGGTAGTGATGTAAAAATACCCTCCGTCGGCTCGTCGCAATCGTCGTCGCTGTAATAATTATTACGCGGTACGGTCATACGATAATGCTAATAGCAGTTGTTTACAGTAATGCTATTAACTGTGTAGACAGGGCCGGCAGGAGGGCAAAAGGAAGGCTATCCGGGAGTGTAGCGTATAGTCGCGTAAAGTGACGCATCGAACACTGCCGGCGACAAAGACTTCACCAGTGCTGATTGACACGTTATCAGTCGAGCTAGCGATGAGACAAGCGGTCCGTATCGTTCTCTCCGTCTCTGTTACTGCCGCATCGGCCACTTCAGTCTATCACTGGTGCGCTGTCGAGTGAACAAACCGCTATACACATCTCATTATTCATATCTAGATTTGTAGAGGTGTATTTATACTGTATGGCAGTGTTACGGATGACGATTTCAACAGTGACGACGACCTTGACGACAGTGCCATCAGCGGAAGACCAGCAACCGATCAGCGATAATACAAGAGCTATATGTCGTCATCGAACTAAACGCGAATCGCATATCGGGGCGGTGTTCCTTCGTGTAGCAACTAACTTCAAATAAAGAGGCATCAAACGAGGTTGGTTGACGAATCGGGTGGTTGTCTTTGGAAGAAGCTGTCGCTTCTGGTTGTAGACGATTTATCATCCTATAATATTATAGGGCTACAAGTAGAATGCAAATAAAGTAGATGTACGATTCAAAGGAAAGCTAGGCGAAACGAATCGTTCGATTGGTTAGATTTCTGTGAACGGGTAACATAAAGACACTATATATACGATTTTGTAACAGACATATTTTTGGTGATGGAGGGAAATCTTATAGCCATTTTATACTATGTTTTTTTATTTTTGTAACGCCATTTTCACTGCAAGATAGCATAGCTCAATCAATATAGACCATATATAATAAGGTCCGTTTATGTTCAGTCGGTCCGTCAACTGCTAAATTAACACCTGGACACTTTGTTATAGCTAAGTAACTTCGTTTCTGATTCACGTGGCTAATAGCTGCCACCATAGTCCTTTACGTCATTGTTTTTCTGGGCAAGGACTCTAAGAACTTATATGGCTTTGCCTGACTTTCACACATTTTATGAGCTTTTGTGTTTTAGCCTAGTTTTGAGGAACTTTAAGTTCTCGTAGACGGATTACATATTACCTGCATAAGAGGATAACAGCCATAAATCGAACAGCTATCTCTTGTCAATAAACATGGGCATACTGGGGCCGTATTGAACTAGTTTTGACGCGAGCCTTTGCTAGTTAAAAAAAAACTTCGAACATGAGCATCAAGTGTATCGAAGCAGCCAGTATTTTCGATATGTCATAGACCTGCTTCTGTCTAGTTTATAGAGGTTTATGGTAAAAACAATGATAAATCCATATGAATCGACGGGTGCTACAAGCACCGGTCGGGCGTTCCTTCGGAAGTCACCAGTTAGCCTAATTTAACTCTATCGATCACCTAAAGATCAGACGTTTCGACGGAGCCTTTTTATTGGTTCTGTATACAAACATGAATAATAAAAACATTCTAATTTTCCGAGTGATCTGAAACCCTGTCTTGAATGTCCGGTTTGAGGCAAATTGACGAACGACTTACCTCAAGGACTTTCCAGTAAAGCATAAACTTATCAGAGAGTCGCTTCGAGTTGTACTCGGTCAGATCCACCTGAAACAATCCAATTGCGCAATTATGTCCATACCCTTTTTAATTTTAGCGGTAAAACTTTTTCAGTGCTGTTCTATTCACCATCTTGCTCGATATTTTTCATTATAATACTGTGCCTTTTACCATAATAGACAACTTTGATGTCCACCCTATTATGTTTATTTCAGATGACTTTATCTAGGCCTATGATGATGTGATTACATATGTTTTTACACACACTTGTTGCAGTCAGCTGGACTACTCAGCATTTGCATATGGCTTATCAGTGACTTACCTTTGAAACTAACTAATAGTTACAGTAGGATGAAGTGATGCAGGACTGATAGGTTCGGAATATGCAAAAATAAATGATCTCCGAAGAACAATATAAAATATCAGGGTTCCGGCAATAAATATTGAGTGATTTATTGAGCATCGAGAAAAATTCACCTTTGCAGGACCATCTATATCTGATTGGCGACCGCATTTTGCTCCGTACCATCCTGGCTCGCAGAAACATTGCATTTTCGGGTATGTTGTAGCGTCAAGATTGATGCATTTACCATGTGAGCCACAGTCGGCATCTTGCCAGCATTCGTCCTATAAAAAACACGCACTATTTTATAACAGGACGAGCAGAAAACATTAGCTAAATGATGAGTATGTACGAAAAATGAGCAAAACATTGTTTGTGGAATTGTTTGCACAAAACACAATAGACTAATATCGACAATTCGAAATCACTATTACGGGACTAGTTGTTTCTTTTCTCTTTGCCTATGCGCCCATCTCTTCGTCGACTTGGCGCCTGTTTCAGCGGTACTAGTAATCAATGTGGTCTTCGGCAAACTTCACGCTCTCCATTTCCGACAGGCGTATGCAGAGTGGCCATGTTGACCGACGCCCAAGTTAGTACGCATTGAAACTATCGGCTACTGACTGATGGCGAGACGGTCTGCCGTTCGTACGACGGTCGCTCGGTTGTCTATCGGCGTGCCATTTGCGACTGTCGGCCCACACGGCATCTGACGCTGACAAAACGCTGCCGTGCAGAGTTTGGGAACTAACTGCTGTTTCTGCTGCTTGAATAGCATTGTCCGTGACTTTGACTATCGTTATTTATTTTGCCAATAACCGAACGCCTGTGGCAGCTGTAGCGGCGGTATCAGCGGCAATCTGCAGTTGAATTACGGCCAATGGACTAACGAACACCGGTTCTTTTCAAATTTTCCAGCCTTGGTCTAACTATAGATAGACATAGGCCGGCACAAAGCAATATCCGAACAGAACCATATGTCGTTTTTGCCGTTACTACCTGCACTGTTGCTTGTCTTGTAGGAAAACAAATATTTCAATATCTCCCCTTTGGATTGTATATAAATGAATGCGTATACACAAATTCGTCATATTATCAGTGCTAAATAGAGCTAGTAGAAGCCCGCAGATTTTTTCCTATAACCAATGCTGCTACAATTCGGAAGTAACGAAAGTATCAATTAGAACGATTCTAATCAACATGTTAGTATAGGTAGGGTTGCTCTGCAGCGTGCCTATATGACTGCAGTATAAGTAAGTGGTGCTTACTAGAAATGCATTCGAAAAAAAAAATGTGTGTAATTTATAGTATCACGACATTTTTGACCTCATAGTCAGATAATATGGCGGGCATGAGTTGAACATTGCTCAACAGTCAATAAATACGAGTAGACTTCATATATCCGTTAACTACATAGAGATGGGTTATTTCTTATTCCAACCGTGGATCTAGCTTGTGGTTCGGTTGAATGTAAACATTACGCCATCGCATAGCCACCAGTTATCAGGTTGAAATGGGATGGTTCCGCTACTGTAGAGTACTAATTCCTACAATATCAGCAGTCTGAGATGACGTAACTACGGAATCTAACAACGTACACCTACAGATTAACCGTGAAATTGTTAGTTGATGTTCAATTGAACCGTAGTAGTCGCAAGCCCTTTCAGGTATAAGCTTGCTTCGTTTGATTTAGAACGATGCTTCGTACTTGATTATACAATGTATGACACACTGTTGTTAATGCAGCTGTTTGACTCAGTCGATGATAGCGAACTAACCTTGTATTGGCAAACGTTGCCTGAGTACAGATGTTCACAGACGCAGTGTCCTTTCTCAATACGCCCCCGGCCCGAACAGACAACATTGAACTCCTGCACCGAGATTAGGTCAATATCGGCACAACTCCAAAACAAATAGCTTTTACCCCATTCTCCAGCTTGACGCACGAGTCTAATTGTGCACCCCTTGCAGGGCAAGGAGCGTGGCAGCTTTACAGTCGATGCCTGCGCGCTGTCGAAATGAAGCCATCATGATGTTAGTAGACGAAACGGAAGCGTAGTATCCTGATTTCGAGTTAATATTAGCTATTCTGGCCTTCTAAACTGGCACTGTACCGTTTTCCCCAGTTGTCCTTTGGCTAGCTGATGTCCTTTTTAGGGAAAATACTTAAGCTACAATTGATAGATCGTTGAGCTCTTCGGGTAGCTTCCAATCCCTGCAATATTCTACTTCACTGACATAAACGGAATAGTCCAACGAAAGCAGGAGCAATAATGCAAACGAAAGTTCTTCATTAATTGAAAAAAATAGAACAGGACATTAAATTCACCATCACAAAGAAGGACCATCCACAATATATGAATACATTGGTATTTAGAAGGACATCGATATAAAGGGCCATTTTACGTCGAGACCCAAAACGTGTGCTTATTCAGCGAAATCACTTTAACTATTTTCTAGGGATCTATTCGCAAAACATTTTCGTGTTATTTTTCATTTGTGTCGTTTGTGTGATTTGTGTCGTTGGTTCAGCTAGCTGAGCCGATATCGTTACAAATCATAGCTCCACTATCCCCGTTTATGTAGCTATATTCTGTTTGTTTTCCCTAGATTTCTATATAGCTGCTTATCATGCGCTCGCTCCGTCTACCATGACAAATATTATTATTAATACTAATAACACCAAATCATCCGAAGCAGTTGCTGTGCGGCTTAACCCAATTCGTGTGGGCTTTCTGGTATCAAGTTCACCTCTATCTACCGATGGCATGACCATGTTTTATAGTTTTTGCTTAGCATTATCAGTCATCAGAAGAAGCCAGTCATTAGTTTGACCGTGAAAGCCCGGATGAAATGGGGTTTTCGTAGCTTCGTCGACGCTTCCCATCTACGTTCTAATGCCCGACGTCCCTTCCTTCACAACTCGACTATCCTTCAAATAGTCCACGTGAATTACACGAAAATTAGACGAGGAAAACTAGATTTTCTTATTCGTTTTCATTATTACTATTGTAGTTGTTGTGTGACGTTCGAATCAGTTGCGGACAAACAGGCCTAGAACAAGGGCAACATCTAAGGCAGAATTGGCGGTAGGTCAGCTGCAGATAGGCCTTCCTCAATGAGAAAATGCGCCAGCTTCATTTTTTTTTCTTCGCACTTTGCTTTTTAGCGCTCATCCCTTATTTTTCTGTTTGCTCTTTGCTGCTCATCCGTATCGTCTCTGCCGGTTGTTGCCTGTTGTTTATGCAACAAAGCTGATAGCAGCAGTAATGGTAGTCGAAGCAAGATTTAAGCAAAAGCAACCTAAAAGGGGTCTGCGCCGCCAGTGGGGTTATTTGATTCGAAGTAACAAAAAAAGAACGACAAGTACCTTGGGAAGAAGGTTGTGCTGTTTCAGATCTATGCTGATCTATAGATCTGTGTATGAGTGGGAACGCTGAAATTAACTCTGACAACTGTTTCGTGTATTAATTACTGTAAAGGTAAGTTGTGCGCATAATATTTGCTAATTGTGCTGTAGTATCTAGGTTGTTCGTATGTAAACACTCGTGAAAAGCATCATATTTATATCGAAAAATTATGAATTAGCAAACAGTGTCTAGATTTAGAGGCAATAACCCACAAGTAAACAACGCTATACAGGTAGATATTTCATGTTCTTAAGGACGGCCTCAGCAGCATAAGCGAATCAGGCGAAGTGTCTAACGCCTTCGGAACGTTCAAAGAGGGGCCGATTACTAATAATATAAAGCTGTAAAGAAGGATATAGAAAGCGTTACATGTTAATTGTTGTTATAAGGTAACGCTTCAATGGCTCAAATGAACCCGAATCACGAATAAGTTTAAAGGTCCTTCATAAAATAACCAGATAGCAAAACACGAAATTCGATTGTGCTGTTTAGCTGGATCTAGAGGAGGGCTGTCGTACGGCCAGATGTAGATATATTGGGATATGGCCCCCACCGAAACCGAGCTCTCTGCCATCAGGTTTAAGAAGATAATCCAAAGAAATAATCACGGTCTGAGCATCAACAGGCTCGTCTGTTTTAGATTGAAACAATTCTTATGGTAACAGTTACTATTTTAAAATCTTTTTCCTTTTTAAAGAGCTACATATCAAATGTATTTATAGACAGTCTAAATGGTGATCGGTTCTTGGCCGTTCATGTATTTAATTATATACAAATAGACAGATGTTATACTAATTTAATGACAGGATCGACCTTCATTTGAAGTTTTGGCGAGATGAAGCCGACTGTCAATATCCATACAAAGTTCCATTCACCGGTAGTCGAATAATGCAATTGATTTTACAGATATTTTATTTATAAGCAAACAAATAAATATTAAATGAAAAATTTAACGCAAGTTTACGTTGCGTCGTCGAGGCCGAGCCATTGATCCTTCGGCGTGAGGTCCATAACGTGCTTCTCATTCTGGTCAAACAGTTCTAGTTTGTAGCCTCCCTGAAAAATCGAACGCATAAAACAGAGCTGGATTTTATTGAAAGCCAGGGAAAAACTATATCGGGAAGGCAATAATATTCCTATTACATTCTATATACGTTCTGATACGTCAAAAGGCAAATTGTCCCGGCCTTCAACAGCGTAGGTCAGCCGAATTAGTCAGCGTTGCCGCAGTAAACTGTACCTGATGCTCGATGGCTTAAGTAGAAGCTCCAAATCAAGAGTGACGAGGGCAAAAAATAGACGACTTCATATGAGAATGTTGAAAACAATACGGAAATTTAAGCTAGATGGATACATCTTGTCGGGGAGGGCGTGCCTCGATATGTTTAAAAAAGAGCGCGTCGTTATGCGTTGAGATGATTAGGTGGGCCCGTGATTAGCAGTTCACGCAGTGCAATAGATACAAGCACTGAAAATATTTTGAATTTTTAATAATATGCAACCGTCGTAGGCGTTGTTATAACTATTTTTCGTTTTATATGGAAATTAAAAATCGCTTCGAGCTAGATATCGAACGTCAGGAAATTTCGACGCAAACCTTAGGCCTGTACTAGACTCAATAGAAATACTGTCATTTTATGAAAATCATCAAAATCCGGTTTAGCAGTCCATAAAAATAGATAATTCTGTAAAAAAAAAATCAAATGATCTCCGTAAATTAACAACATGACTAAAAAGGGACTGAAGCAAACAAGAAACCTAGATAAACACGAATCTAGGATTACAGATGACGGAATTGCGTTAAGAAAATACCGTAAGTTTGCCGTAGCTTAATACAACAATTCTTTCCACAGTGCATTTTTTTTTATTTCCTAATATTGAATTCTTACTTGATCATCAGCGTTGTATATGACATGATGATGGTGGAGATTGAAGCCGCCACTTCTGGCTTCTTCAGCCACCGGGATCTCCAAGGCTGCAACCTATTCCCTAAGTGAAGGCGTGTTTCATTGTAATTGTAGACACGTCTCGAACGCAACTCGTAATCTTTCTTGGCCTGTCAGTCAGGCAGACACCAAAAATACTATGGTCGAAGTAAACATATCTCTAAATCGCCATCTTCTTTTAGGTGCGTGCTTGAATTTGAGTATTCGTCTAAATACACAAAACAAGTGAGCAAAAGTCGCTGTATGTCTGTATAAACTATTCAGCCTAAAGTGCTAGCATTGTCATTAATTAGCAAACCATCCGATTGCTTTTATACTCTGAAAATTTATGGACTTTCGCTGATCGGCAAAAAGTCATACTTCTGCACCGTTATGCCCTTCAGAGTGTAACTACAGAGAGCATACCGAAAATGCATTTTTAGTAGATTAATGGCTGTGAATGTAGGGTGCGCAATCTAGCTAACTAATATATTCAGTACGCGCCGTCCTTTGTTTTTTTCCAAAGTTTTACAACCCAAACAAAATACCCTCTTGCCCGTCGCGTGCGATCTTCGATATGAGGACATGCGTATTTAATCGCGTGAGAACAGATACATCGATCGTTTTCCAGTGTTACTATGGGAATAATGGCGAAAATTAAACCACTTCAGCTCTATGGCCCACCATGTTACAGCACAAAGAGAAGAGTATTGTTTACTTAATGTTATGTGAACTGAAAAAGCCAGAGAAAAGTCGGCTAATTCGATGGTAAAGTTCGTCTGTGATAAAGGTAATTGGAATGGTCGTTTGGCGGGGTGTTGCCTGTCAAAAAGATGTGTATCGCTAAATTGGATTTTGCACTATTTTATTTGGCCTAACTTTTCACGAAGGTTTATGAAATGGTTTCAATCTAAGCTAAAGGGGCATGTAAGTTAGTCCTTCTTGACTTCGAACTGGAACGCTTACATTTAGCGAGCTCTATACAATACTTATTGCCAAATATTTTTACAAAGCATATGAAGCTCTTTGTCAAGAACGGTATATAGACTTCTCATCCACCATAGAGTTAAATACGGCAATGCATAAAATTGGAGTTAAAAAATGTAGTGCAGATGCTACTGGCGGGTAATTTTATGCTGTGTTTTTACGGTGAGATGCAAATAACTAAGGGTTAAATCAAAAAGACATGAATCGTCGTGTCGTTAAATATGATAAAATATAGTGCCATTTTATATCCACGCGCCGATAAGTTTTAATGAAGTTTTTGAACGTATGCCTAAGTTCACGTCGTCCGTAAAAATACATGATATTTTTGGCCATCTCTCTACGCTGTCCAGACATATTTAACCCGCCAGTGTCGACAATAGTTTCAACCAATTTTTCAATCAACGTTACGTGTTGCCCCTTTGCTTCGTTTGCCCGCTTTACGTAAGTGTATCCTGGCAGTAGCATTTTGGCTTTGTTATAGATTTATGCACTTAGATTGGACAGAACACTGGTTAGAGTATGAATACAACTCGAAATTATGCGGATAGATTAGTAACCGTTTTATACAATTGAATATAGTAAATGCTCAACGGTGATAACGATGTGTCGTTGATAAGATCGAGCCGATCTTCATTCGTGATTCATGTGAGACAGATAAGAGATTTAAGCATGTTGGAGACGCCAAGAAATGGCTACACACATCATACGCGTTTAGTTATTGTGCAGCTTCCATTCAAGCTACAATTCCTAGATCTTCATCCAACAACACGTAAAGCACTGGGAGTGTCCTTAGTGATTCTGAAGCCTCGCTATCTTTTACACAACGAATGTGATAGTGGCATAGGGACAATTAGGCCAACGAAAATTATTGAATCTTAATTATGTTAATATTGTTAACTTGAAGATAAAAGCTCCAGTTCTGTCACACACGTCACTTTGTATAGTTACGTTATCCTCTCTTGATTCATTCAGCTAACGTGTTATAAAGGTTAGGCTTTAACTAAAACCTTCTAAATGTACAGATAGCGGTTCTGTTATTTATTTGGACCACTGAACAAACGATGAATATTACAATCAAATTTCACTTCAGACGGGAGACTTTATCGATCAGTCAATCATCGTCCTGACAATGACAGTGCCCTATAAACTAAAAGCTGATCAATTGAGGAAATCAATTTGCTGGTATTTAAACTATCGGCATAACGATAATTTCGTTCGAGACATTTGTTCCCCAAGTTTTTTTTTGTCATTTTAAACGTGCACGGAAAATTCTTTGGTAATGCATTGCTTTGTTGTTTTCTATTTAGCACGCGCACGTATGAATATGATCAATTCGTTTTATGGCATAACCTTTACGTAACATAGTTGGAGCAAAGTTGTATATTTAGGTCACATTAAAGCTCGTTAATGATCATGATCATCATAAATGCTCATTAATCATAAAGACTAAATCGTCTGTCAGCATCGCAGTCGCCGTACTGTTTAGTATCACGCGACCCAGATCAACTGCAACATACTTAGACGAAGGTATACAGGATAGATATGATAAATCTTCCAAAAGAACCGAAGAAACGTATGCACTTAGGGGGCAATCTATCGTGTCTTCATATCTCCCATTGTTTGTTAGACGTGCTGTTTGCTTTGTCGTATAAATTCCGCAACACACAATTATTAGGATAATTGCGTACAACATAATAATTGTATCAATATCCAGTTTTATCTTGGCTGTTATCTCGTTTAATCAACATTTTACATCAGCATTCACAAATATGATTCAATAAACCAAAGCAGTATCCTTTTATTGTGACGAAGCACATCAGTTAGTCCCTACGGTGACGGAAGTAATGACTTCGTCCTGTTAAGACTGTCACTGATCACTCTATGTTCTTCCTAATTGTACGTATTTGATTTATTTTCTGATTCTATTCCAGCTAATGTACTAGAAGGGGATTTCCCTATTTTTGTTGCTGTCGCAAGGGCAGAAGCAGTCCTAGTTTGGCCTACAGCTCTTAACGATTTATACATAGGGTACCGGACTATTGTGTTTCTACTTATTATTTACCTACAATTTTCGTCCTGGCTGTTGCTATTCCCGTACCGTAGTTAACAGCGTAGCAAGCGTGCAGTCCCTGGCAAAATGATCATCGAGTTCTCAAAAAAACTCAGCTTTTGTAGATTTACGATAATAAAACTATAAACATAAAGTTCTATACAGTGTTCACACAAGCAAAGAAACTTCGCTTCGCGAAATCCTTGTATCTTTTTTACTCGACCTTTTAATCGTATTCTGTTGTTGTTTCGTCACTACAAATCCAGTTCGACAGGCAACAAGCGTCAGGAAGTAATCAGCCGCCTAGAAATCTTCTATCAACTACGGCTTCAGCGTCTGACAGGTAGTCTGCCTATTTTACGGGGCTGTCGCTTCGGGTAGTCAACCGGATAACTCTGCTGTGATTATGGGCAGGACTTTAGCGAAAAAACGCAAATTATATTCATTTTACACAACAATAATAATACTTCTGCTGCTGATGCGACTTCTGTTATAACTGCACTATGGTATTGAGCGTGCGGCCGCTAACCTGTCAGCGGCACTGGGAAGGCCAGCGTGAATGGAGCAGCAGCTTACAAATTCTAAGGGTCAGAAGTGGATCACAGCCGTCAATTTTTCAAACAGCGTCATCACTATCACCAATAACATCAACAGTAGAAACTAAGACTGAAAATAAGTACATGTTATGCGGGAACGTTGCCAACGGAAACGTGCCCTGTTAGCCAGAATCAAACAAGGGACTGAAGATTATGGGGACGTGGAAAAGATCCCGCTATCCAACAACTGGCTCACGCAGTAAACACGTCGCTAAAAGTCGTTATCGTCCAACCCTGTAACACGGTCAACACGGAATTCTTTCATTGTCGATGTTACATGCAGTAGCCGCCGCAGGCTGTACGAATATACAATACTGGCATGTAATATAACAACGTCAATGACGCTATGGATAACGATACGATGATCTGTAACGAAGAGCAACAACACTGACTTTTAAATTTAAGCGGTTCCGGCAATGGTAGTTTCCTGCCAGTGGTCTGCCACCATCGACCGCTGTTTTAGCGACAGGACTACTTGACTGCCATTGCACAGTTCAC